TTTCACCTGACTAACGCGCCAAAAGGTTCTACAATCCATTTCTTTAAGCGACATTGTTAATGAGAGTTTTACTACGTAATGCTATTTTGTTTATTCTTTTTTCATACTTCACTCCCGCCATCTTGTGCCTTTCCCGCGGGCATTTCCATTAATTAGGCTGCTGACATATTGGATGTGCAGAAACGTCGTATTTATGATATCACAAATGTTTTGGAAGGTGTTGGTCTCATAGAAAAAACACGCTACTCCAGTGTTGTCCGATGGAGGTAAGTTACAAGTTGTAATAAAAAGTTTTTCAATTTAAATAAATTTGTCTGTTCTACATGACAGAGGTGGTCTGGATGGCGAAAGCGACGATTCAATATGCAAAGAGGTAAAGGCACGCACGAATCAATTAATAACGCTGGAGGATGAAATTGATACATTATTGGATGCCGCCCGACGCAATCTCAAAAATGTGCAAGAAGATGCTATAAATCATTCATTTGCCTATATAACCCGCGATGACTTACTTTCGGTATTTGGTGACGATGTGGTTTTTACAATACCCAGTCATGACGAAGAAGTGCAAATAGTAAAACGTAAGGTAAGCACAACATTACTCTTGTGGTCAGTCATATTCGAGGAACGGTTTACAAAGAAATAACATGGAATGCGGTTCTTTGTGTCCGATATGTGACTCATGAGTTGTACAGTGATAGTACAGAGGCTTTGTGAAATATTTGTATTGAAATATTGCCAGTATATGTGCAAACTGAAACAAAGCAATGGCGAGTTTGGGGTTTTTTATATTATAAGTTACGCTACTTTTTTGACTCCGCTCCTGTTGTCAAGAAATATATTGTAACAACCTATAGGTCGCCGGATCCTTGAGTATAACCATCAATTATTATTTAATGAAACTAGTATATAAGGCATTTAGTAGAGCAAGTTTTTAGTTTTAACATGAGTTTTTCTTTCGTAAGAACAGTCGACGGCAACATCAACGTTGTGCTTAAATGACAATATATATACATAATCTGAGGGTTTTCTCCTGGTCGTGTATTTTATACAATGCCACATTTGACAATACCAATGGTGAAATTTATTTTATATTGGGAGACACAAGTTTTGCCGAAATGCCGCTGTCTCACTTGGAGACCTCTAATGCATTGCGGCCTTTTGGTATATCTGCGAAATTGATATCTCCAATTTGCTGGTACACTCTCGCTAGAACTCATGGACATGTTGAAAAGAATCAACAATTGCAAGATCAATAAAAAACTGCAAAAAAGTCAAACGCCATAATTTTTATTTTTTATTTTTTTTTTTTTTTAATTTTATTGAATGAAAGCAAAAAATGTCGGAAATAGCATCAAATTTTAGAATATGTTTAGATTTGTTCGATTGTTCTTTAAATGGCCAATGAAACACGTCACACTTGCTCTGCGTTATTTTGGCCCATTCCCGGCGAAGCACTTGCTTGAGGTGATCGACACTTTGGTATTTTTTAGTGCCAATTTTTCCTTCCAAAATTCTCCAGACACAATAGTCCAACGGATTGGTGTCCGGAGATTTTGGTGGCAATTGTGCGTTGGAAATAAAGCGAGGAACCTCAGTTTGTAAACATTCTTGGGTGGCCCGAGCTGAGTGGGATGGCGCTGAGTCCTGTTTGCGTGCCCAAGGCTTTAATACACCCTTTAGAATATTTTCGCGATAATATTCGGCAATTATTCCGAAGCCACGGTCGATTAATACGAGCGGAGAGCGACCATCGGCTGTTGTGGTAGCCAACCCAAGGTGCACATTTTCAGCTGACCTCTTTGGCAAGTAAACACGATAATTTTGTTTGTTTACAAACTGCTGGACAACCAATGTTTTCTCATCGAAGAACACGGCAGTTAATCACTTTCGACCAAAAGAAGCAACTCTTTAGCTCTTTTGAGTCTATTTTCTTTCCGATGCGGTGTAAGTTCTTGCACTTTTTGGAATTTCTTTATTTTTCGAACAATTTCTGCTGATATTGCTGTTTTCTTCCGTCCACTTCCTTGACACGTCCGGCTACGCTACCAGTATCACCGACCGAGTAACGAGCGATGGTACGAGACACAAAAGATTTATACACATTTAAATTCTAGAGTGCTCTAACGATAGCCACTTGTGGTTTTCCAGCCAAATTTAAAGAAATTACACTATCACGCTTAAATTCCATCACGAATAACTTTTTTTCTGGAAAATTCTCACAAAAATGCTTTTGTTGGCTTGTAAACAATAAAATGAGCTGTGACTGAAATAATTCTAACAGCTGTTCGACGAGTGGCTTAGAGACGAAAGCCATCTGAAGTTAGTTGCAGTTTTTTCATCTCACCCTGGAAAATTCTCAATGTTTTGACTTAGTTAATCAAAAATTTGAAAAACTCATTTGGAATGGTGTTTTTCTTTCGCCTGTACGGTGGTATTGTCACAAAAAAGCAAAACCTAAATAATATATGCATCCATTTGAAATTATTTATATTTGAAGATATAGCATATTGACATATTCTTTTGAAACCTTGTCCAAAAAAGCGGTCATAAGGATATATACGATCGTATCGGCATATGCTGATTTTTATGTTCTATTTTCCTCAAAAACAGTGTTTTTTTTAAACGTTTCTTGTAAAAATATACTTTGAGAGAAAAAATTCTCAAATTATTTCCATGCACTCAAACGCCCTTTAATCCTATTTTCGTTTGTGTTTAATACCTAAACAAGCATAAATTCCACATTTTACGATTTTTTTTAATTTGAGATTTGACCACCATCACCGCCAATTACGCCGCACACATTTATTCAATAAATATGTAGATGCAAGCGCAGGTCTTCAAACATTTTCGTGTGGTGATTATATGCAGGTGGTTTTTATAGATTTCTATTTTTAGCTGTCTTCTTATCTTTCTTTTCCTATTCATTTCTTTCAATTGTTCATTAACATATGACAAAAAAAAAAAAAATGCGTTGCTCGTTTCATATTTTTCCTTCTTTGTTGTTGAATAAAAAAAAAACAATTTAAAAAATGCAAAATAATAAAACATCAAGTAATTGGCCGAACATGTGATACCCTACACAACTATATTTTTTGTACATTTGATACCCCTTTGATTAGAATGAACGAATAACTCAGATTTTGGGATATATGACTGGAGTCTGAGCCCAAATATTTTTATATCGAAAAAAATGCCGCAGAATTTCTATAGAAAAATGCATCGGAAACTGAGGTCCATTTTTTATAGGCAAAAATGCATTGGAAACTGAGGTCCATTTTTTATAGGCAAAAAAGCATCAGACACTGAGGGCGATTTTTTTATAAAAACAATTTCTCTGAAACTGAGACTAATTTTTTATACCCTCAGCCATATGGCTACAGAGGTCAAAATGTGCCTAGTCGAAATAACTGTTTTAGACCCTAGGTCTCTTTGGACCAAATCCGTTTCAGGACATTTGGAGTCGATCTAGCGATGTCCGTCCGTCTGTCCGTCTGTCTGGCTGGCAAAGAGAAGGAAGTATCCGATTTTGTCCAAACTTGGTACATCGTAATATTTTTGTCAAACTTAGATCGAGTTCGGAGATGGGCAATATCGGTCCACTCCTTCTGGTACCTCCCCCACAAAAGGTCGAAATTTTCAAAAAATGTATTTTTTGCACAGAAAGTGAAAGGCTGATCCGATTTTGCTCCAACTTTGCATATAATAATGTTTGCATGAGTGCTAGGCTAGGTGTGAAAATGGACAATATAGGTCCACTCCATCAAGTACCTCCCCCACAAATGGTCAAAATTTTGAATAATTGCAACTCTCATAAAATTTGATGTAAGAGCCCGATTGTTCTCAAATTTCTCACATCCGAATATTTATATTAACCCAAGGTCTGGTGTGAATATGAGCAATATTTGTCCACTCCTTCTGGTACCTCCCCCCACAAAAGATCGAAATTTGCAAAAAATATATTTTTTGCACAGAAAGTGAAAGGATGATCCGATTTTGCTCCAACTTTGCATATACTAATATTTGCCTGAGTGCTAGGCTAGGTGTGAAAATGGACAATATAGGTCCACTCCATCAAATACCTCCCCCACAAATGGTCAAAATTTTGAATAATTACAACTCTCATAAAATTTGATGTAAGAGCCCGATTGTTTTCAAATTTCACACATCCAAATATTTATATTAACCCAAGGTCTGGTGTGAATATGAGCAATATTTGTCCACTCCTTCTGGTACCTCCCCCCACAAAAGGTCGAAATTTGCAAAAAATATATTTTTTGCACAGAAAGTGAAAGGATGATCCGATTTTGCTCCAACTTTGCAAATCTTAATATTTGCATCAGTACTATATCAGGTGCGAAAATGGTCAATATCGGTCCACTCCATCAAGTACCTCCCCCACAAAGGGTCAAAATTTTGAATAATTTCAAGTCTTATAAAATGTGATATAACAGTCCGATTGTCTTGAAGTTTCACACATGCCAATATTTTTACCAACCCAAGGCCTGGTGTTAAGATGGAATATATCGGTCCGTTCCTTTTGGTACCTCCCCCATAAAAGGTCAAAATTCTCAAAAAAAAAATTTTGCACAGAAAGAGAAACGATAATACGATTTTGCTCTAACTTTGCAAGCGCTGATATTTGCGTCAGTGCTACGTCAGGTGCGAAAATGGACAACATCTATCCACACCATCAAGTACCTCTCCCACAAAAAGTCAAAATTTTGAATAGTTGCAACTCTTATAAAATTTGATTTAAGAGTCCGATTATCTTCAATTTTCACACATGGCAATAATTATATAAACCCAAAGGTCTGGTGCCAAAATGGAATACATCGGTCCACTCCTTCTTGTACATTCCCCACATTTTCGAAAAAAAATATATATTTTTTCTGCAAGAGAAGCAATAATACGATTTCGCTCCAACTTTGCAAATCCTAATGTTTTCGTTAATTCTAGGTCAGGTGCAAAAATGAATAATCCATCCACACTCCATCAAGTCTTTCTCGTACCTCCCCGACTAAGGGTAAAATTTTTGAATAACCAAGACGTTTATAAAATCCGAAATAAGCGTCAGGTTCTCCTTATATTTCATATATCCCATTATTTTCACTAACAAAAGATCTGTTATGAAGATGGGATATATCGGCCCACTTCTTCTGGTACTTCCTCTACAAAGGATCAAAGAAAGCGAAATAAGCATCCAACTCTCCTAAAATTCGACAAATACAAACATTTTTGATAAACAATTATCTGTTGTGCTGATGATATATATCTGTGAACCCCTTCTGGTACCTCATTTACAAAGGGTCACAATTTTCAATACTTGTATCTGTCTGTTATATCCCCATTTTATATTAATAAGTATTGGCAACTCTATTGATATTTATGATCTGTCATTCATCATTCCTTTTTGTTAGTCTTAAGTTATCCGTTGTGAAATAAACTACTGAAATGAAAACGCGTGTATTATTTCAACCCCTTCAAGTTACAACAGATTGGCGACGAGATAAAAAGTAAAATTCATTTCGATTAAAATAAATTCAAACAACTCAAGATGAACGCAGATCAATTTCAACAATTACTGGATATTTTCAACAAAAGTCAAAGCGAATTGCTGAAACAACTTGCAGAAAGGCAAACAGTTTTCCATCCGCAACCAGTACAACAACAAAATGCGCCGCCATTACAAATAATAATTCCACCATTTGAGCAATACGATGCTACCAAGGAAAACTTCAAATTCTACATGCAAAGGTTCGAGAATTATCTGTCAATGAGAGGAGTATTAACCGATAAAGCGGTATGTCACCAGATACTGATAAATTCGATTGGCCCTAAACATTTTATGCTGATGGTATCCTTAGTGGCCCCACAAAAGATAAGTGATGTTGAGTATGATGTATTGGTACGCAAATTGGAGACACATTTATGCCCAAAGAAAAACGTTTTTGTACTTCAACACCGATTTTTATCAACGTACCAAGGGGAAGGTCAAACACTTTCCGAATATGTAGCTATGCTCCGCCGAGATTTGAACGAGTGCGAGTTTGTGTCAACTTGTGACTGCAAAGCTGACATATCCAACATTTTCCTTCGAGCTCAGTTCATTCGGGGATTAAAAGATGGGCACATCAGAGAACAACTCCTACAGTCGGAAGAACCAGACTTCAACAAAATATTAGAAAAAGCCGTGTCATTGGAAGCTTCAAGAATAGACAGCCGGGAGTTGGAATCCAAAAACAGCGCAACAAGTGACGTCAACAAAGTACGATCCAGATCATCAAATCGAAATGGCCGACAGAAATTTCAAAGGTCTTCTTCAAGGAGTTCAACATCTTCAAAAACAAAGGTAAATTTTTCCCAGTTGGGTATCGACAATTTATGCATTCGCTGCGGTAGAAATAACCATAAGGTAAAGGATTGTCGTACCAACCCTAAACGTCTAAAGTGCAAAGCTTGTGGAAAACCAGGGCACGTCAAACAAGTTTGCATAAAAACTTTATTGTCAACATCAAATAATAATTCAATCGCAACGAACGACGAATACGACGAAACAGTTTTCAACATGCATGGCATAAATAAAATAATTGATATTCATCACAGTCAATCATATGATCGCAGAGATGATGACAAGTACATGGTCAACGTTCAAATAAATGGTCGCCGTCAACAATTCGAAGTAGACTCAGGAGTTAAGTATACACTTATAAGAAAGAGTGAGTATAATCAGCTGCAAATTCAAACACAATTACAACCGTCGACGATAGCGTTTCGATCATATACAAAAAACATATTAATTCCATACGGAAAAGTAAAAGTAAATGTTCAATACAAAAACAAACGTTCAACTGAGGAGATGTACGTCGTGCCGAATGATTATGAGTCATTACTAGGTCGAATTTGGATTCGTAAATTAGACATTAATCTCCAAGATATCGATGAAAAGGGATTTTATTCAATAAATAATACAGCATCAGGATTCACACACTCTATAGAAGATTTAATAAATAAATTTCAAGATGTATTCGTGGAAAGAGTGGGATGTGTACCCAATTATGAAGTTAAGTTGCAATTAAGGGAAAATTCAAGACCACAATTTTTCAAAGAACGTGAGGTACCCTTTGCACTCCGTGATCAAGTAGAAAAAGAGCTAAATGATTTGGAATATGCTGGAATTATATCAAAAGTTGAACGAAGTGATTGGGGATCACCCTTAGTAATTATTCCGAAGTCAGACGGAGGTGTTCGACTGTGTGTCGACTATAAGGTGGGGGTGAATCCGAAACTGGTCTCAGCAAATTACCCGATTCGACGAGTTGATGAGATTTTAAACAAACTCAAGGGTGCAAGATATTTTTGTAGACTCGATTTATTCAAAGCGTATTTACACATAAAGGTAGACAAAGAGTCAAGTCAAATCCAGACTATTTCAACACATCGAGGCACTTATTTGGTAAATCGCCTGTCCTTTGGCATAAAGACAGCACCTTCAGAATTCAACCGAATTATGGAACAGATTTTATCCGGGCTAAGAAATACCATGTCTTACTTCGATGACATAATCGTATACGGAGCTACAGACTCCGAATGTAAATATAATTTGCACGAATGTCTACAACGCCTGAAAGACCATGATTTACATCTAAATTTAAATAAATGCTCATTCATGAAGACAAAAATAGAATACTTAGGTCACGTTATTGAACATAACAAAGTTTCAAAATCTCCATCAAAAGTTCAAGGAATAATAAACATTCCTCGACCAACAACGGTAGATGATGTTAGACGTTTCTTAGGTATGGTGACTTATTATGCCAGATTTATTCCAGAGATGTCATCGATAACGTCACCACTACGTCAATTATTACAAAAAAATAAGAAATTTTATTGGTCAACAGATTGTGAAGCATCATTTTTAAAGCTTAAAAATACCATAGCCAGCGATCAAGTTCTAATGCCATTTGATCCACAATTGCCCGTAGTAGTTGCATGTGATGCCAGCCCAACGGGAATAGCCGGTGTGATGTCGCATATAGTTAATGGACGCGAACATCCTGTGGCATTTGCTTCTCGATCATTAACGCAAGCCGAGAAAAACTACAGCCAGTTAGATCGCGAGGCTTTGGCAATTATCTTCACCATAAATCACTTTTTCAATTATTTATACGGTCGGAAATTCAAATTACTTACTGACAATCGCCCATTGACCAGAATTTTTCATCAGCACAATAAATTACCCGCAATGACATCAGCGAGGTTATTGCGATATGCAGAGTTTTTATCGAATTTTGATTATGAGATTGTTTTCAAAAAGGGTTCAGAAAATACAAATGTCGACTGCCTTTCCCGAGCAACAAAAGATTTAGTAAAACCTTCAACAGATCAAGTAATAAATGAAGAAGTAAATCAACTATGCCTATTATCAATATTCGAAATTTCGAGTGAATTTATCAATGCTGAGATTCTAGCGAAAGAAACTGCAAATGATCCAGAACTATCCAGTATTTTAAAACAATTAGTCAGTGACCATGACAGTAATGAAATGTATACGCTAAACAATGGTATAATATTCAAGGATCAAAGAGTATTGATTCCAAAAAAGCTTCAAACTCAAATTCTCCAAGAGCTTCACTACACACACCTAGGCATTACTAAAATGAAACAACTCGCCAGGAGATACTGCTTCTGGAAAGGTATCGATGCTGATATAGAGAGAATGGTAAGGTCCTGCGAAGCCTGCGTACAGGTTCAATCTAAACCAGCAAAAGCCCCGCTACATAAATGGGAGGAACCAGATGGAAACTGGGACAGAATTCACATCGACTACGCTGGTCCTTTTCAAGGTTATAATTTTCTAATTGTTGTAGATGCAAAATCAAGATGGGCAGAGATAAAAATTACTCGGGATGCTCCCACAACAGCTATCACAATAAAACTTCTAGATGATATATTTTCTATTCACGGTTTCCCGATTATAATGGTCTCAGACAATGCAACAATTTTTACTAGTGATGTTTTCAAGTCATATTGTTCCAAAAACGGAATTTTCCAAAAATTAATAGCACCGGGACACCCTAGTACTAATGGGTTAGCCGAGCGCAACGTCCAGACTCTTAAGCGAAAATTAAAGGCAATGTCGTCCGAACAAGGAGCACTGCAAAATAAAGTCAATGAGATTCTACAAAGATATCGAGCTACACCTTTGTCAAGCGGGAAGAGTCCAGCCGAATTATACTTTAACCGACGTATTCGAATAAGACTAGATGCTATAAAGCCAAAAATGCAATTTCAAACAACCAAACCGATTCCAGGCGTTCGACAATTAAGCGTTGGAGGAAGAGTCCAAGTTTTACACATGAGAAATAATAAAACTGTATGGAAAACTGGTACCATAGTTGAGAAGTATGGACAGTTACATTACCTCGTGAAGTTAGATGATGGCTATGTTTTGAAACGCCATATCGATCAGCTAAAAGCAACCAATGTTCAAAAACGTAAAGTCCACTTCGATCCAGACATAGATAATTCGTCAACAGAACAACCAGAGAATAGATATCAACATTACTCATTTCCAGCATACCAACAATATCAATATAATCCAGGAAATAACCCAACACTTCAACAACCTCCACAACAAAATCTTCAACCATCTCAAGAAAATATACCATCTACGCAAGAACCACCGCAACACACATCAATTCAAGCAGATACTCAAGAATCTTCTCAACATAACGACAATAGACCAATTACTCATACACCGTCTCAACCAGCTTTTCAAGATAATAATTTAAATGTCCGACAACCTCAAGTAGACCAATCATCGATGGAACCACAACATCAACCTCTAAGAAGATCTCAGCGTTCCCGAACAAAACCAAGTTATCTTAGAGATTATGTGAACGAAATTGATTAATGCAATTGAATTCAATACCTTATTATTTATAATTATGGATTGCATTTTAATGATCTCTATTAAGCGTGGGAGACTGTTATATCCCCATTTTATATTAATAAGTATTGGCAACTCTATTGATATTTATGATCTGTCATTCATCATTCCTTTTTGTTAGTCTTAAGTTATCCGTTGTGAAATAAACTACTGAAATGAAAACGCGTGTATTATTTCAACCCCTTCAAGTTACAACACTGTCATAATTTGCGAAACAAGTCAGCGATTCTTTACAACTTGCTATATTTAAATATATTTCTCTTTGCTAGAAACCTGAGATGAATATGGAATTTATGATATTCCATAAATTGGATATAAATGTTCGATTTTCTTGTAGTATTGCCCAATATGTTTATATGTATTAGAGAAGCATGAAAATAGAATGCTTCAATCGACTATATCTGGTAGCCCACGCACGTTAAGATTTTCTAAAAATGATCATATATGTCATGTAAAGTGAAGGAAGTTACCAAAATAGTCCAATCCTGGCACGTCGCAATATTTATATCATATTTATTTAGGTCCGATACGAAATGGCCAATATTGACCCATTCTTTCGGAACGTACTCCACAAGAGGTTAGACATCTGAATATTAATAACAGAAGTCAAAATATGTTTAGGTAATCGTACATTGGCTGAGGGTATACATCTGTCGGCAAAACTGACAGATACTTTTTAACTTGTTTATATTAAAATGGCTAAGAATCTAAAGCCAAGTAAGCTTAAATTTTTTCCATAGAGAAAATACCTTAGAAATAGAGGCTATGTTTTCTGTGGGAAAAAAATTTCCTCAGTATTCGCCGAATTGTTTTCTACATTGCTACAGAAACTGAGGTCAAACTTTTTCCTATAGAAAAGAATAATACGTCAGAAACTAAAGTGACATTTTTTGCTATAGAAACAAAGCTTCGGTAACTAAGGCCACATTTTAACTGTTTAACTGTTTGCGTGTTCAAGACTTTAATACATCCTCCAGAATATTAAGGCGATAATAATCGGCATTTATTCTGAGAGTGCGGCCATCGGCTTTTATGGCGGCCCACACCATCACCAACCGAAGGTGCACATTTTCAGCTGACCTCTTTGGCAAGTAAACAAGTTCTTCCACTTTTTGGTATTTCAACGGCTTTACCCCGAGCTCATTTTTCAATATTTGCCGAATGGAAAATTGCGATATGTTCTGCTCACGAGCCATTTTTCGGTTACTGCAAAAATGCCTTTGTACGATGTTTTTCAACAGGAATAATTTTTTCAGAAACTGGTCGATTTTTTTTTCTTAAGCTACAGTGGCGTTATTTCCAAATTGATCGAATGAATTTAATTTTGTATTTATTTTTCCTTTCTATTTGTACTCTAGAATTCGTTGCACATTTCCTTGGACAATGGCAGTACCATAGATGTACGATTGGTTACAAATCAGGGTCGTTGTAGTACAACGAAACCCGAAACCGAATCAGCCAGGCAATATTCACGTTTGGAAACACCCTCACCCACACTGTCCTCATCATCAACATATTCCACAACATCGGGTACATTACAACAAACCTCCACCAAAGCAAATCTAGTCAATGAAGAGCATACGTATTTCTGTAATCCCGAGCTAAAAGAAGAAATGGAGGCGCTGGAAAATCAACTGACGGCACGTATAGTCTTGCAAAATTGCACGGCTGGACATTCTTTAAGAAGATTCTTTCCCGATGATCCACATATGGGTAAGCCATTTTTTTTTAATAATGTCTAAGTCTATAAATTTACATTTCGTTTTTTTTTCCGCTTTGCAGAAAATGCCCCTTTGATGCCTTTAAATCCACCACAAAATGATTATAATTTTGATTTAAGTCAAGATGAGGGCATATGTGAGCTATATGATATACCCTGTTGTCCGTGATAGAGGAAATCCAAAAAATACACTTTTCGGTGCACATTTAGGAACAACCAAACCAATATCCTTTCCATCCCCCAACCATTATAATTCTTCCCTGTGTTCCCCACAAAAACACAAAACACAATGATCGTCGAGAAATTAGTGCAAATATTTAAAGGTGTAATAATACATATATACGTAGCAAACTTAGTTGAATTAATCTTATGACCATCATCAACCAGAAAATGGGAAGCAAGAAAGATTATAGATAGATTTGTAAAGTAGTCCATTAACATTTAAGTTTTTATGTTTGACTTAATTTTATATTTTTCTTTAGTTTGTTTTTTTAACTTGATCAGCTTTATTAAACTTCGTGGTTTTCGAGATGCCTCTCTCTTTTGTGAAACCTTTAAGGCCGGAAGTTATACATAACATAACAAAGCTATGGGTCTATTACATAACAAGGAAGTCAATTAAGAGGGAATGTTTCCAAAATTTTTTTAAAAGAAATCATCTCCCTAGTAGAGAGAGTAAAGTCACCCTATTAAACAGTGATTGACATAGGTAAGAAGATAAATGTTTGGACAATACTGATAAAAAGATGTGCTTTAAATAATAGCTCAGTATCTTGTCACTAAAGCGTTATATTTTTTCACAAAACCCGTAAGCGGAGCCGTAAGACATGTTTTTCATTTTCAATTATCTCTTCAAGTTTTTTTCTGTTTAGCTGAACATGATATTGTGCAATGAATATGAAATTCCAGTTTCTATGAAATCAAAGTCGAACGAGTGTGACAGTGGAATTACATGGCTCTAATGCCATGTAATTTAGTTTCGCACAACTTTTAGGGGAAATACCCAAATACCCACGCAAAATGATATTCATATTTTGGACAACCTGATCAGAGTATCATTGGACGTAAGGCTCAAAATTAATAATGACTTGTTATGACTAACTAGAAGACGACTAGATATGGATGCAATTCAAATGCACAATTGCTGACAAAACACCCAATGGACGTATATCTCAAAATTAATAAGCAGCTCATTGACTTAAGCTTAATTTTGTTGATAGTAAATATCATTTCTCTCCTGTTGAACTCTGCTGAAGCAAAGCGATGGGGACATATCTTTCTCGCAGTTTTGCATGATAAATACCCGTATCGGCCCGAACTTACCACCTCTTTCTTTTTAACCGAATTTAACTACATTTGGTCTATAGCTAATCGCCAATACCATACTTCCTCTTTTGGTTCCTGTTCAACAAAACGATGTGGTATAATACCTTTTTTGAGCGTCCTGATCATCGTTCGACGGGCCATGATTCAAAATAAATATTGGTGTTATGAACTACCACAACATGGACATAATGGATTTTTTTTTTGGTATCAATAACAGGGTTACGGCCATTTCAATATCTATTTTAATATTAAACTTTACCTTTTTACTTTTCCATGCAGGGTCGACTAATTGCGGACTAGACGAAAATGAGAATTTGCTTATGAGAAAAAGTTAATATATATGGGAAAGAATTGAAAATCGATAAATTTGTTTTCTTTGTAATGCTTGCAAAAAACAAAAACTTCCCCTCCTAACAAGACCATCTGGTCGGTGCTTTCGCCATTATGGACCTGGGAAAGGCGACTAGACTAGACGAAAATGAAAATAACTTCCCCTCCAAATTAAACCCCCCTGCTTGGTGTTTAGACCATTAAGACCCTCAGAATAAGAAAACACGGATAAAACTCCTCGTCATCATTTTTAATTTTTCTAAAAGATTTCTCCACGACCACGGTTCGTGTGGTTCTTTTGAACAAAAATAATTAAAACATGATTTCGTCGATATTTTTCGAAAAGTTATATCCCTCTAGGACGTATTCTGTCATTAAGGGATTATTCTGTCAAGGTGTCCTACATATAATAGAAGTCTTCATTGTATATTATAGGCAATATAACACCTCTCGGTTTCCTGTTGCCCAAAGAAATCTTTAGGATATCCTATAGACTATAGAAGAACTCTGATGAATAGTTGGGTTTGTTTTAGGCCCGAGTCTTGATTCTAAATGCTTGTAGCTTCTTGAGAAATACGGTTTATGGTAGGAGAATCCTTTCCTGGAGAACCATTCGATATTTTGAAAACTGTTAGTGTAAAAATTCAAATTAAAAACTGATTAAAAAAATCAGGAAAAATATTGCAAACGTTTTCTACTTCTTTCTTAATTGGCTTCCAAATTTTTCTTCTATTATTCTTTATTTTTTATTAATATTTTAAATTTTTTACTTTTTGTTTCGTTCTCTTTTTTTTTGCCCATACTAGACGATTTGAAAATTCATATATTTTTTTGTTTGATAGCAATAAATTTAGGTAATTGTATATAAACAATACTAGACTGTGGCGGCATGTCCAAAATTAAATAATTTTATTCATGATTTCAAAATTACCATTTATTTCAATTATCTATCTCCTATCGAATGAGTTTATAATTGCTAAATAATAATAGATTTTAAATAGCTTTAAGACAACGTCTTGTATTTTAAATTAATACTGACTTTTAATGATAATAATAATAAAGAACTTGCCTATTTATTCAGCAGATTGGATTTTGTTTTAATTGTTGAAAGGGTGAGTTGAATGGGAAGTTTTTAAATAATTTAGGATGAGATGAAAAAACTGCAACCAACTTGGGGTTGCTGTAATTTCTAAGCCACTCGTCCGACAACTGTTAAAATTATTCCAATGATAGCTCATTATATTGTTTGCAAGCGTACAAAAGTATTTTGGTGAGAACTTTCCAGGAAATAAGTTATTCGTGATGGAATTCAAACGGGATAGTGTGATTTTTTTATATTTGGCTGGAAAACCACAAGTGGCTATCGTTAGAGCACTCCAGCATTTTAAGGTAAATAAACTTTTTGTGTGTCGTACTGGTAGCGAACCCCGACGTCAAGGAAGTGGACGGAAGAAAACAGCAACATCAGCAGAAATGGTTCGAGACGCAAAGAAGCGACTTGATCGAGACCCGCGTCGCAATGGACTATTATGTCTAGAGTATTTTGGAAAGCAAGGTTGGCACTAAAAAATACCAAAGTGTCGATCACCTCAAGCAAGGGCTTCGCCGGGAATGGGTCAAAATACTACAGGACAACATTCCGGCAGCGTGTGACCGTTTCATTGGCCGTTTGAAGGCCATAATTCGTGCCAAAGGAGGCAAATTCTTTGCCTTATCTCTGATACCACATTTTTAAAGAACATACTTCCGTCGTCTTGTGAAACATTTATCTTCTGTTTTTCAAAAATATATTTTCTCTATATATTTTCTTTTACAAGTTTGATTCATATAAAATATGCCTATAATCTAATCTGATATTTGTAAAATACAAGAAACAAACATACAATCGGAATATTTCCTCTACTTCCTTTTGGCCTTTTTCCAATTATTTTTACCACCACCGCCGCCGCCGGTCTTAAGACGTTTACGGGCACCCGTGAATTGTTCTGAATCATCAAAATCATCACCGCCATCACCTTTCTTAAAACGACCCTTGGCACCTTTCGACTCCTCAATATCCTTAAGTTCCAATTTGGCAGTGCGCTGAGCTTCACTGACACGTTCTTGCAGGGCCATTACCTCATCCTCTTCACACTTGTACAGGGGCAATTGTTTGCCCAACAAATGTTCGATACGTTGATACAATTCCACATCGTATTGGGTGACAAATGTTATGGCTTTACCCGAACGTCCAGCTCTTGCGGTACGGCCCACACGATGTATGTAATCTTTACTGTGTGTGGGTATATCGAAATTTAATACCACATCTACATGGGGTATATCCAGACCTCTGGAGGCGACATCGGTGGAAATGAGTATAGAACGATTTTTCGCTTTGAATTTATTGAGGGCTGCCAAACGTTTATTCTGTGACATTTGTCCGTGCAAGGGAATGGCTGCCAAACCCAATGCTCTTAACATGAGAGCCGTTTTGACGGTATTATTGCATGTACTGCAGAAGATCATGAAACTGTTGCCGGCCAATTCGTTGAGTATATGCACCAAGTAGACGTCCTTATATTTCACCGGTATGAAAATGTAGTATTGTTGCAGTTGTTCCACAGTTTGGTACTTATTTGACACCTCCACTTTGACAGGGTCCTTCAGTGAGGCTCTTTGGAGTTTCTTTACCTTTTTCGTCATTGTGGCACTGAACAAAAATGTTCTCCTCTCCTTTGGCAGTACTTTAAGGATTTTATCCAACTCCACTTCAAAGTCCATGTTGAGAATACGATCAGCCTCGTCCATGACAAGATATTTAATGGCTTTCAAGTTGAAGCCTTTTAGATTCTCCAAATGATCTACCAAACGACCGGGAGTGGCAATAATAATATGAGGCTTTTTACCCAGTTGCAGGGCTTGTGATACCATATCCATGCCACCAACAACAACACAGCATTTCACACCAATAGAGCTTCCTGAAAAATTTAGGGAATTTAGTCCGGGCTTAAACACTGTTTGTTCACCATCACTCACCCAAAGCCTCAAATTGTTCCGATATTTGAAAAGCCAATTCACGTGTTGGTGTCAAAATCAAGGCAAAATATCTCTGGGGATTTTCCAGCAGCGCATGCAATATGGGCAATGCAAAGGCTCCCGTCTTTCCCGAACCAGTTTCGGCCAGACCAATAACATCTTTACCCTGTAGAGCCACTGGAATGGCTTCTTTTTGAATCTTTGAGGGTGCCTTCCATTTAAGCTCTTCACAGGCCTTACACAGAGTTTCATTTAGGCCCTAGAATGATAATTTACCAACTTGAATTAAATTATTTTTGCAGATATTTTCATTGTATTTACCAACTCCTTCCAAGTCAATTCTTTTTCCGGCTTCTCATCATTGCCATTGACTACATCAGCGTTGCCGTTGTCATGATTGTTCGAGACTTGTTCATCTTCGTCTTCCTCATTTTCAGATCCAGCCGACTCATCGTCTTGTTCCTCCTCACCAACATCACTATCCTCCTCCTCTTCTTCTTCGCCGCTAACAACGTTTTCTTCATCTTCTGAAGTTGTGGACATTTTTATTTAAAAATTTTGTTTTAAATTCCTTAATGAAATAAATCTACGGGGAAAAACACGTGCAACAACCGATTGTTGTGATTGTGATTTGACAGAATAACATACAATGTTGCCAGATGGAAATTTTGTGTTACGGTAAATATCAAGCATATGCTTGAGTTGTTTAACAGCTTTTTAATGCCATGTCGGCACTCCAACCATGTTTTTTAATTATTTTTTTTTAAACTAAGTAGTTTTTTATAAGTTTTCTTATACGACACCATGCATTTTGCATTTTTTGCATATGCATTTTCAACAATGTTTACAAATTTGAATAATTTTTCATTCAAAATGTTCAATTTCAAAATTGGTTTGAAAGTTTATTGTTTCAGCAGCTGTGTCGATGCGATACTTGACTCCAGACTATGGCAGAAGAATGCAAGTAGCCGCATCGACACATCTATTTCGTAGACTCCATGTAACCATATATTTTTTTGGGAGTTTCCATTTTATGATGGCCATACGAAATTTCGAGCCTTCATACATAATTTCGGGTCGTAGGAAGTTATACCAACTGGCATCTTTAAATTCAAAATTTGAAATAATTCTGGTGAAAAGTGTGGCTGAAATAATCAAAATACGGAATAAAGGGATGTAGGTTATATATATGTTATAGGTTATATGATAAGAAATTTTTTGTGATTGGATGTGGTTTCTATTATGAGTAATTCCCAAAGACGGATATAGCTATATTGACATAGAATTCCCGTTTGTGGGGTCTAAAATGCTTATTTCGAGGAGTTACAAAGATAATTAAGAATATAATCTCATTCCAAACAAGCTTGTCCTCTGCATTTTCTGTAATATACCTTGTCAAATGTTTAATAAATAGGGTTCTCGTTCATAATGATTCTAAATTTCAGCTTTATCACTCCAAAATTCCTTTACATGTAAATCCAGTCCCTTAAATGAACTCCAAATTACGACACGTCTTGTACTAACTACAATCGTGACAGTCATAACTCTTCCAACATCTGGCAACACTCTTCCATTGATTTATTGATTAGAAAAGTGACGTTTGTGCCAGTAGTAGAAAAAATTTTCAATTCATATACACGCGAAAAAGATATTCCTGCAAAGAGAGCGAAATTAAATGAATTATTTTTGTTTCCCATATTAGAATTGAAAGGAATATATCTCGAATTTGTGAAATTAAGTGAGTGTACTAATGATTTAATGGAAAATCAAATGAAAATATCCGCAAATACAATGTGAAAATGTGCATTAGAAAATCTTCGTTTTGCTTGTGAAAAGAAAGTAGAAAAAAATCTATAACAAAGTCGTCGTCGTCTTCTTCGTTGCTCAAAAAGCATTAAATGAGAATGGTTGTGTTATTGTAAAAAAATAACTCAAATTTGTTTAAACGATAACAGAGAGCACATAGCGTCATTCATTGTGTTTCAAAAAAAAAAGTTGAAATTATGTGGAAAAAATTTGTATAATTTTTGGTATTTTCTTTTTTTTTTTCTTTTGTGCTAAATTATACTGATTTTTTCACACACACATCCTTCGTCCATTGAAATGTCTTTGGATACACAACATAACGTACATTTTTCCTTTCGGTTCGGTACTTTCAGCAGTCGCAGTGCAGTCGTCGTAACAACAAGAGCAGCAGCAGTAGCAACATCAGTGTCAATAGCAGAGACCGAGAGTAGTGTGTAAATGAGTTTTTGCCTTTCTGTAATAACTCTCCTCTCTCTGACAACGTCAGCATCGACGTCAACGTAGGCAGTGAATGAGTGGCGGCATAGGCAAGAGCAGCAAACGAATAACTTTAACGAAATAATAACCATTAATAACACCAGACCAGTTGTAAAAGAAGAAGAAGAAGCAGCAGCAGAGAAATTCCGTAGGAGGCGTTGGTGGAGAGAGAAAGAGAGTAACGAGTTGAGAACCCACATCATATTTTGTTGCGGGTGGTGGGAGTCTAAACGCAAACGCAGTCGAACGTACGACAACAGAGGGAATAAAACAACAACAACAACAAAACACCAGTTGTAGCAGGGCCAAGCATAAGGAATAGAAAAAAAGTAGTACAACTGCAATAGCACCAAAAAACAACAAAAAATATAGCTAAATAATTACCCATAATAGTAGTAAGAACAAGAAGAAACTATCAAATAAATCCTCTGCGTGCGTGTGTATCCTGACCTCTTCCCAAAAGCCAGCAAAATTAGTAGCAACAGCGACCGCCTGCCATACACATTTTTACCAATCAATCTCAGTGTCGACAAGAAAATTCCTATAGAGAGATCTCAACATAGTCTGAAAGACTTAAAAGAAAATCCTACAAAAAAAGACAAACAACCAGAACAAACGCCTCTTGGTATTCCCTGCATGAAAGACATATATTCTAGTTGGAGAATAGCAAGGAACTAACAGCATTGTAGAAGGGTGTCGTTGTCCTCACAACCAACCACTCAGCACATCCAGCAGCGGAAGAAGCCAAAGTGTGTCACATCAAAGTGCATTTGTTGCCCCAAATTTTGCCGATGTGTCATATGAGCAGCAAAAGCAGCAGCAGCATCACCACCACCAGCAACAGCCACATTCTGATGTAAAACTTTAGAAATCTAGAAATTAGAACAAACAAAAAGCCAACCAGCAGCCATCCATCCCTCCATCCCCCACAACGAAGAGGAAGACGAATAATAGCAAACGAAATCTTCTTGTTCTCATTCTGGTCTCATCCCCAGCATCATATTCATATTTAAGTAGAAGAAGCGGCAGAATTTCTTTTTTGATTAACCGGAAATTAGAATTGCCTAAAAATAGTTAGCAATTACATCGACCGTACCAGCAGCAGCGACAGTAACAACAACAACAGCGGCCACAATCAAATATCCACCATGAATCCAGCAACGGATCCCTGGATTATTACACAACGAGAAAAGCTGAAATATGTGGAGCAATTTAAGGCTCTGCAGCCGCAGAATGGTTTTGTTACCGGCGGCCAGGCGAAGGGCTTCTTCTTGCAATCACAATTGCCGCCTTTAATACTTGGACAAATATGGTAAGTCATCATCATTAACATCAACGTCATCATCATGATGAGCATAGTCAAGTACTAAGAAGGCGATTAGCTTGTGACTCATATATATATATATATATATATATATATATATATATATATATATATATATATATATTCACTAAGTAGAGCGAAGAACGAGCGATATGTGAATGCCTTCTTGCCGTCGATAATATCGCTTTTCTGTCTCTACTTGAGACATGTTTATTTACACTTAAACTTTTATTGTGCCTTCAGTTCAGTTTTTATTTTGTAATTCATGTTTCTGTTTTTTTGTGCCTTTAGCCATCAGACATCAATGATGATGTTATAGAATTAAATGGAGAAGAGATTCGAGTTGGAGTCAGAAGCCAGGATTTATTGTATACTGTGGGCGTTTAGGAAACATGTAACATCTATCTATTTCTATAGTGGGGTATATGGAGCATCATAATCCTTGGCTGTGAAAAATGCTGTTTTTACCCTCCGCCATTCTTTGTCATTCCGTTTGCAACTCCTCGAAACATTCATAACAGACCCTACAAAGTATATATATTCTAGATCAGCGTAAACTTCTAAGACGATTTAGCGATGTCCGTCTATCTATCTGCGTGTCTGTCTTTCCGTCTGCCTGTCTGTTGTAATCACGATATCTTTCGTACTTATTGAGATAGAAAGCAAAAATTTGGCATACATGCATAGTTTACCAGTAGGCAGGTTAAGTTCGTAAATGGGCCATGTCGGTCCACGTCTTTGTATAGCTCCCATATAACGGTTCTTCCCGATATTCGGTATTTTCAGGATTTTAGCGACATTGTTTACCGGAATTATTTCAAAACTCGTATTTGAAGTTCGTAATTGGTACTACAGCCTATGACAAAATTGTTTGTATGCAGGCCCCCATGTAACGATACCTCCTGATATTCGGTATTTTATAGATTTTAGAGACATTTTTCACTGGAATTTTTTTTCAAATTTCTTGTTTGAAGTTCGTATGCAGGTCCACGTCTTCGTATAGTCCCCAAATAACGGTTTACATTTAAATGGTAGTTTGGGGATTTTTTTTTAATTTTCAAGTTCCTTCCAAATGGAATATTTGTCCATTCTTTATATCAGACCTCAAGATGGGATAACGTTCTTTTCAAACATAGATCCCATCATTATCTACAAGTTTGTCAAATCAATTTCCTGGTTTAGCAGACCACTGCTAATTGTACTTCTCTCTATAAAGCCTTCCTTCTCTTTTCCTGTCTTTCCTATCACCAACAACCCCATTTTTCATAGGATGAACACAATTAATCAAAGGTCTTCGAGGGAAGCAGTTTCCGAATTCCTTGTAGCTAAGTATTCTTAAACCAACCAACCATAGCCTGGGCTTAAATTTTTTAATTTCACCTTTCAACGTTCTTCACAAACTCTAATTTCAGTTGGATTTTTCTGAATCCCACTACATACTTCCTCCGGGCAGCCTCAAATGAAATAACATTGTTATTAAACGTCTATTCTGAAGCCAACTTTAATTTTCCTGCCCTTGGCGTACTATAATTGTGGGCACGTGGCAACAGCCTATGCTCGTTCTCCTTAAGAGTAAGCGGAAACTCACAAAGCTTTCGCCACCTATGCTGCCTGGGGTCACGTTGAGCCTATTTTCGCATCTCTACTGATTACAGGACATTTCGGAACATACCATAATCTACACCGTACCTAGACACTCTACAGAACTTAAATCCCCTAAGTCTAGTCTAGAGGAATAGACAGCCAGTACTACATATAATCGAGGCTGAACTTCGATTCACTGAACATCCGTATTTCCGAGGGATGTCTGGAACCGGAACAGACCAACTTTTCAATGGTACAGCCGTCTACACTGATTCTTCAAAGATATAGAATGGAAAGGGTGCAGGGGTCTTCTGCGAAAGCCTGATTGTAAGAAATTTCTTCAAGCTAAAGAACGTCTACTGCGCATTCCGACAGAGATCTTTGCCAACAAAAAAGCCATTGATCTGCTGGCACTGGGAAAAGTAAAGTCGTCTATTAAGCTTTGTTGGGTTCCAGGTCATTGCAATATCTGTGGCAATGAATCGGCCAATGAATTAACAAACGATCTAGAGATCAGGAACTGGGTGAAGCCACCATTGCGCCACTTCTTCCGAGTAATACATAAACATTACTCTGGGAGATTTAAACGAAACTGGCTAAATGGAAGAGAATTCAAATTTTGGCCGGTGCTCTCTAAAAAGAGAGACCAAGGTCGCTAACATCTGTGGGGAGATCAGAACCAACACTTGTGGTGGGATTAATCACAGGTCACTGTATTGTAGGGGTAATGACTTCTAAGTGGGTTGGTCTTTGTCAAGACGAGGAAGAATTTGAAACGATAGAGAGCACTTATTTTTCCACTGTCTAACTCTTTTCGGTGTTAGACACAGATTTATGGGGAAGAAAATTCTGCACGACTTGTTTTCATGGGAAAACGACGACTTGTAATCATTCCGAAACTAAGTAAGCACTTATTCTTTAGTTAGCCAAGGACTAAGGTGGCTAAAGACGACACCTTTTATATATCTTCTTTCTGGTCCTTTTTTCTCTTGAATTTTAGGATGAATACAATGGACCAGCAGGTTTCCGAGAGGAGTGGTTGTTATAAGCTCACCTAACCTACACAATCTGCCTTTACCATTTCGGGTGCTTGAGTTTCAAGAGGAGGTGTCTATTTTTTTAAATGATTATAGAATGCAATGTATCGATTCGAGAGAATACTTTTTTCAAGTTGATTCATTTATTATATTCCAAATTCATCAATTCATCCGAATACCAGTAAATAAGATTGCTGCCGTAATAAACGTCCCTTTCTGTAGCCGTTTTAAACTTCTTTTCCCCGCCCATACAATTTTGCTGTTTGAGCTAAAATTTCCCTATTAATCCTCCTGCTCAGAAATGCCTACATTCCGTATTTTATTTTCCAATCTTCCAATATGTGTTTTATTTTGTTAATATTTGACAAGCCTACATGTACATATAACACCAGAGATACGCCCCTCATTTAAAGTAAACGATAGTATTATGTATTTCTCTGGAACTGCTTATGAATAAAATAGATGCTCGTCAGTTTCATAACTTGTAGATGCTGTTGTCACTACCACCATTGCCAAAGATGACATCGTTTGAATTTTCTTTATACATGTCATAAATTTCCAAGACTATGTAATATTTTATGTCATGTCGTTTCAAGTTTTGTTTTTTTCCTTCTTTGGCAATAATAATAGCATGAACTTTGTTTTCAAAGACATCATAACGCCGCATTTTATGTCCATTGTTGGGTGCAACAATGTCAATACAACTAAAAACATTGATATCCTTAAATGTGACTAGAGAAACTTGAAGGATATGCGATTTAACTTAAAGGGATTTAGAGAGAATAAAGTTAAACTGACTTAGTTAACATTTGATATATTTTATTTTTTTTTGTGTATTAACTGGTACAGTTTTATTTGATTGTTGAAACCGAGGCATTTCTAATAACTTCTAAATCCGATACGACCGATGACCAAATGCCTGAATTTGGCTTCAATTCAAATAGTAGCAGTCCGTAACATATTTTTGAGAATATTCCTTAAATCTGTAAGTTGTTTTAATTAATAAAATCTTGGCAAGTAAGCTCGAACAACATATTTGTGCTTTGAAATTCAACGAAAATCAAATCACAATAGTTTAACGACTTAGTTTATTGTCAAAAGTAATTTTCTTGCCCTACCTTATATAGTCCTTGATTAAAACAAATTTTTAACGAAAATGGCGTTTTTGAAACAATTCCGGTGAATAATGTCGTTCAATCTTCAAAATACCGAATATCGGAAGGTGTCGTTATATGGGCTCTATACCAAGACGTGGACCTAAACAGACAATTTTCTGTCATAGGCTGTAGTATAGATTACGAACTTTAAATACGATTTTTGAAACAATTCCGGTGAATAATGTCGCTAAAATCATCGAAATACCAAATATCGGGAGGTACCGTTATATGGGGTCTATATCAAAACGTGGACATTCACAAACAATTTTCTGTCATAGGCTGTAGTACCCATTACGTACATCAAATACCAAATTTGAAACAAATCCGGTGAATAATGTCGCCAAAATCATTAAAATACCGAATATTGGGAGGTGTCGTTATATGGGGCTATACCAAAATGTAGACAGACACTTTTCTGCCACCGGCTTTAGTATCCATTACAAATTTCAAATACCAAATTTGAAACAATTCCGGTAAATCATAAAAATTCGGAATATCGGGAGGTGTCTTTATATAGGTGTTAGTTGACAATTTTCTGTCATAGGCTGTAGCATCCATTACGAACTTCAAATACCAAATTTGAAACAATTTCGGTGAATAATGTCGCTAAAATCATCAAAATACCGAATATATGGAGATACCGTTATATAGGTGCTACACCAAAACGTGGACCTGAACAGACAATTTTCTGTCATAGGCTGTAATATCCATTACGAACTTAAAATACCAAATTTGAAACAATTCCGGTAAATAATGTCGCTAGAATCATCAAAATACCGAATATCGGGAGGTACCGTTATATGAGGGCTATACCAAAACGTGAATCTACTTGGCCCATTCATTCATACCCATCAATATCAAAAGTCCTGCAGACATAATATATATTTGAGTAAAATTTATCAACCTACTTCATATCAATCGACACTTTGTATACTTCTAGAATGGAGATTTCTAAAATGTATATTTCAAGGTTTTACAAACGGAATAACAAACTATATATACCCTCCATACTATGGTGGAGGGTATAAAAATGGACGATATCGGCCTACTCTATCAAGTACCTCCCCCCACAAAGGGTTAGAATTAACGGGAGTAATATATTGTCGTCCTGGCTATTTAGTGGTGGTTTTGTAACATCTGTGTTCCAGGAAAATAAACAAAAATAGCTGTGTCTGTCCTTAAGTGGCATTGCCGGTATGCTGGCGTATATCGCGGCTATGGCTCATCCCTTCGAGAACACCTCTCGCCATGACGTCTATTTATTCCTGACGTCACAGATTTGATCCTTAACTTATCATATTTTATCCCATTTCCACCACCTTTCTAATAGGGCTAGTCTTAATAGACCATGAAACCTTAGATATACTTATGATCTTGGTCTTAATATGTCGTTCATTCAACCTAAAAAAAAATAAAAAATTGCACTGACCATTGTCGAAAACCACATAGGTATGAAGGAGGAAAGGGAAGGAGAACTTTGATAGCTTTACCAAACAGGCAAGGATACTGCCAGCAACCGAGAGCCAGAATTTAGTTAATTGTTTGCGAATGAAAGTATTTTTAGGGATGTATCTTCCGATAACTAATGAGCTCTTCACTTGATTTTGTCAACATATTGGTCGACTTTCGAGCCTTTTCATCTCTACCCCAAAATGGGTGTCTAAGTTATTTTGTGACAAGTAAGCAAAGGCTATAGTCGTGCATTTGCAATATACTTGCAAAATAATAACAATATTTCTGACTAACTAAAAAACGTTGAGTTTAATTTCATAGTTTTTCATTGATACCTGATTCAGAGGAATATTACTTATATTTAATATCCTTGTAGCATTCTCCTCGTCTGTCATTATCTCGTCTGTCACTATACCCTCGTCTGTCATTATACCCTAAAAATAAATATTTGTATGTCATGTTGGTCATTACCATTTGACATTTTATTTTCAGTTGCGACCAATCCTAATATCCTTTGTATTATGCAGATATGTATATGTTTGTAAATGAAGTGCTTAGTCACAGAGAGGAAATGGTAAATGCCAAATTCAAAAGAAATAAAGAACAAAAAAAAAAAAAAAAAGAAAGAAAACTGCACACATTCATGTACGTTGTTTTAGTTAGTGCAGATGTATAATTCATTTTATTGTTGGCGATTTTCAAAGACTAACGTTAGCACAATCCTCAGTTTAAAGGATCTAAATGTGTGGAATGGAAATTACCCGACCCCCTTCCTATTTAAAGGTCATTTAATTGTGTGTGTGTGTGTGAAGTTTAAGTTTGAAAGCGCTTAGTGCATTTATTTATTTAGCTCGATGTCAAACATTCCGAGAACGTGGTAATGAACTCTATGCACTATGCACCGGTTCCGGCTTTTAATATGAATCATTGGTAAAGGTTTTCTGAGCTGTGACATTCTGCATGATTTTGTCTATTGGTGTCTACTTGGTATACATTTATCTCAGCTGTTCGGAAGTTGACTGGCTGACTGATTTGTTTTCTATCGAGAGATGGACATCAAAATACGCTTAATATATAATCAGAGTACTAAGATGTTTTTTTTAATATTTTGTAATGATAAGGAGTTAGTGTACCTATTTCGTAATCCAAAATAGTTGATTCCTCCGCTAATTATCAGTAGGGCTTTAGAAATGCAGATTTGTGTTAATAATTCGTTCTCATTCTTACAAAGTAAAATATATTTGTCATACCATTTAAAAAAAGATGTCTAACCTGCAGTGGCCTGTGAGCCCTGATATAATGGGAAGGTAACTTTATTTGTATTATGTATTTTTGCTAGGTATAGGATATGTTAGGTTAGAACATTCAGTCTAATCTCTGGAGTTCTTTTTCAGTTAATTTATAAAAAAGCCTCATCAATATCCTGTTTTGCGAAGGCAATAAAATTCCTTTATTCTAGGAGATCATGGTACAACTACCCCAGTTTCCGCATAATGTGACTAATTCGATATTCAACGAAATTAAAAAACAAGTAATATCCTAAAAGTGGGCCGGGCCGAACTTTGAATACCCTCCACCATTTGGAATGAATTGGACAAAAAAAAATAAAATAAAATAAAATAAATAAATAAATAAATAATTAAAAAAATAAAATCCGTTAAAAATTCTGTTAAAATCTTAAAAATACCAAATGTAGCCATATATTAGGGTCTATAAGACGCGTGGACCTGCATAGGCAACTTTTGTCACAAGCTATTACAATATTCAAATGCGAAACTTGAAAAAATCTGTTTATAATGTAGCTAAAATCATAAAAATACCGAAAATAGGATGGTACCATGGGGGTTATAAAACGTGGAACTGCAGAGACAATTTTCTGTAATAGGCTGTAGTATTCATTACGAACTTCAAATACCAAATTTGAAACAATTCCAATGATGTCGCTAAAATCATCAAAATACCGAATATCGGGAGGTACCAAGAAGATGTGGACCTGCACAGACAATTTTCTGTCTTAGGTTGTAGTATCCATTACGGACTTCAAATACCAAATTTGAAACAATTCCGTTGAATAATACCGTAAAATCATCAAAATACCGAATATCGGGAGGTGTCGTTTTATGGGGGCTATACAAAGATGTGGACCGGCACAGACAATTTTCTGTCATAGGCTGTAGTACTCATTATGAACTACAATTACGAAATTTGAAACATTTCCGGTGAATAATGTCGTTTAAATCATCAAAATACCGAAAAAATGGAGGTACCATTATATGGGTTCTATATCAAAACTTGGACCTACATCACCCATTTTCAATACCAAAAGTTCGGCAGTCATAATACACATTTGAGTAAAATTTTATTAACCTACTTAATTTCGTTAGGAAGCTAGAGTGATTTCCACAGACGGACGGACATCGCTAAATCGACTTAGAATTATATGTCGATCAAGAATATATATACTTTGTCTAAAATGGTCTAAAATGTATATTTCGAGGTGTTACAAACGGAATGACAAGCTTAATATACCCTCCATACTATGGTGGAGGGTATAAAAAGGGTGACTCTTTGTGGGGGAGATACCGGAAGGAGTTCATATATTGGTCATATTCCATCCTCACAACATATCTTGTGTTAGTAGAAATTATATGATATGTGAAATATTAAGAGAATCGGATGCTTATTTCGGATTTTATAATCATTTTGGTTATTCAAAACTTTGACCCTTTGTGGGGGAGGTACCAGAAAGAATGGTCGGAACTCTACCATCTTTATAACATATCTTGTGTTAATAAAAATATTGAGATTTGCCAAGTCTGAATGGAATCGGATGATAATTTCGCGTTTAAGGAGCTTCATGGATATTCAAAATTTTGACCCTTTGTGGGGGAGTTACCAGAAGGAGTGGACCGATGTATTCCATCTTTATACCAGATCTTGGGTTAATAAAATTATTGTGATATGTGTAGTTTGAAGACAATCGGACGCTAACATCACATAATTATAAGAGCTATAATTATTCAAAATTTTGGCTACTTGTGGGGGAGGTACTTGATGGAGTGAACCGATATTGTCCATTTTTGCACCTGACCTAGAATTGACGCAAATATTGGCAATTGCAAAGATGGGGCAAAATCGGATAATTATTTCTCTATCTGTGCAGTAAAATATTTTTTTTTTTTGAAAATTTCGACATTTTGTGGGGAAGGTACAAGAAGGAGTGGACCGATATATTCCACCTTTATACCAGACCTTGGGTTAATACAAATATTGTGATATGTGTAGTTTGAATACAATCGGACTCTTACATCACATAATTATAAGAGCTATAATTATTCAAAATATTGACCCTTTGTGGGGGAGGTACTTGATGGAGTGGACCGATATTGTCCATTTTCGCACCTGACCTAGAACTTATGTAAATTTTAGGATTTGCATAGTTAGACCAAAAGCGGATTATCCTTTCTCTCCCTCTCTCTCTGTGCAGTAAATATTTTCTTTGAAAATTTCCACATTTTTTGGGGAAGGTACCAGAAGGAGTGGAGTGATATTGCTCCTCTTCGAACTCGATCTAAGTTTGACAATAATATTACGATGTACCAAGTTTGCACCAAATCGGATACTCCCTTCCCGAGTTATCGTACGCACCAGCCAGCCACACAGACGTAAAGACGGGCGGGCGGACGGACGAATGGAGAGACATCGCTAGATCGACTCCAAATGTCCTGAAACGGATTTCGTCCAAAGAGACCTAGTAGTGTCTATAAAAGTTATTTCGATGAGTCATATTTTGCCCCCATCAAATGATATATACCCTCTCTAGCCATATGGCTGAATGTATAAAAATATCTATCCTAGAATTCCACATAATTGTGGATGCTTGAAATTAAAGGCGAATATTTCCGCTGGATTTTCATACTCCTATCAGCATTTTAATTGTAATATAATATCGAATTCAGCAGCATCGTTTTTTGCTACAAAAGTTTGAAATTTAAAAAATGCGAGACTCAGCAAAAGTTTTTGTGGAACGTCTGTCCCGTGGTCTGTCCAAATGGCAAACAAATCATATTTTAATTCGCATATCTCTAAACGTCAGTTCATTACACTTTTATTTTGTTTTTACATTTGTTTAAAGCTAAAACTGTGAATTTTAACACTTCCCGCATCTCATATTGTTGTTGTTGTTTTTTTCTGTTTTCTTCTCTTATCAGGGCTTTGGCTGATACAGATTCCGATGGAAAAATGAACATAAGCGAGTTCAGTATTGCTTGCAAGCTAATCAATTTGAAGCTACGTGGCATGGAAGTACCCAAGGCATTGCCACCCTCATTATTGGCTTCGTTGAGTACGGGTACCACACCAACACTAACACCAACAGGCGCTGGCAGCCTTAGTCCAATGGAAGCAACAAAACCGGCCGTGGCAGCCGCCGTCTCAAAACCCGAAGTACCAGTCATGCCAAATACAGTTGCTGCCGCTGCAGCGCCCGTTACAGCAGCAGCTCCCATGGTACCAATGCCCGGTGCTGTGCCCATTGTGCCCGGCATGGTACCCGGTTCTTTGCCAGGCATTGTGCCACAGGCTAATATGGCTCCGGCAGCCATGGCTGGAATACCACCCATGCAACAGATGACTGGTGCCGTACCAGTAATGCCGGCCGCAATGCAGGCGGGCATGATGCATGGTGGTGTTCCAGGGGTGCCAGGTGTACCGGCTGTTGCCGGTATGCCTGTGGTGACCCAACCAGCTGCAATGCCAGGCATACCGCCCATGATGCCCGGTGCCATGGTGCCTGGTGTGGCACCAACTGCTGTTCCTGTGGCCGCAGCAATACCCGGTGGTGTTGCACCGGCCATTCCACCACCAGTTTCGGTGGCGGCCAAAGTAATTTCACCACCAAATGCCGTGGCTGCTACACCCACACCACCTGGCAGTAATCCACCAAGCCGTAATATGTCCATATCCGACAGGGCACCCTCCCTGGAATCACCGTGAGTATAAATCAATCCAGTCAAATAAATCAACCACTAACTAATGTATTGTTGCTTTTTCCAGACAAGGTGAATGGGCTGTCAAGGCCCCAGCCAAACGCAAATACACTCAAGTCTTCAATGCCACAGATCGCAACCGCACGGGCTACTTAACTGGACCCCAAGCCCGTGGCATACTGGTACAAAGTAAATTGCCACAGGCAACACTGGCCCAAATTTGGACCCTCTCCGATTTGGATACCGATGGCCGTCTGAGTTGTGATGAATTCATTTTGGCCATGTTTTTGTGCGACAAAGCCATGAATGGTGAAAAGATACCAGCCACCTTGCCCGCTGATTGGATACCACCCAGTTTTCGCAAAAACAAATCGCGGCAGGGTTCGGTGTCGGGTCCAATTTCTCGTCCCGGTTCACAGCCAGGATCGAGGCATGCCTCGGTGTCTTCTCAGGGGGCGGGAGATGCTGATCCACTGGCTGGACTACCACAAAGTAAGGCAAAACCACTTTCAAATGTGAATCCTACTAATTTCAACTTTTTTTCTTATTTCCTTCAGCCTCTTTCGAAGACAAACGCAAAGAGAACTTTGACAAGGGTCAAGCCGAACTGGACAGAAGACGTAAACTTTTGCAGGATCAACAGCGCAAGGAAAAAGAGGAGCGTGAACGCAAGGAACGTGAAGAGGCCGAGAAACGTGAAAAGGCCCGTCTGGAGGCGGAACGCAAACAACAAGAAGAACTCGAAAGACAATTGCAAAAGCAACGGGAACTTGAAATGGAAAAGGAGGAACAACGAAAACGTGAACTTGAAGCCAAAGAAGCTGCTAGGAAGTAATTCCATTCTTTAACCATTTGATCGCAAATTTTATTAAATTCCAATCATGAAAATTTTCAGAGAACTGGAAAAGCAACGTCTACTGGAATGGGAACAAGCCCGTATTGCCGAATTGAATTCGCAAAAGCAGCGGGAGCAGGAGCGTGTACTCAAACAAAAGGCCCACAACACCCAATTGAATGTGGAATTGAGTACCTTGAATGAAAAGGTGCGGCTCTCCGTTTTGAACAATTTTAAATTTAATTTAATAATTTTGTGGTCTTTTCCAGATCAAGGATCTCTCACAGAAAATCTGTGAAACACGCGCCGGTGTAACCAATGTCAAATCGGTCATTGATGGCATGCGTTCACAGCGTGATACTTCCATGTCGGAAATGTCACAACTCAAAGCTCGAATCAAAGAACAAAATGCCAAATTATTGCAGTTGACACAGGAGAAAGCCAAATGGGATGCTAAGGCAAAGGCTGCCGGTGCTTCGGGCGATGTGGGACAACAGGAACAGCTGACAGCGGCATTTGCAAATAAACAAGTGAGTGGTCATGAGAAATGGGATGCTAGGTTTGTGGGTAAAATTATCCACGTTTAAGGATAAATTTATCCACAATTGGGGATAAAAGTATCCAAGTTTATGAGTAAAGTTATCCACGTTTGTGGATAAAATTATTGACGCTTGTGGAAAAAATTATCAACGTTTGTGGATAAGGTTATCCACGCTTGTTAATAAGATTATCCACACGTTTGGATAAGATTGTCTACGATATTGTTTAAAATTATCCACGTTGGTGGATAAGATTATTTGTGGATAAGATTATCCACAAGCGTGTGGAAAATACTATCCATGCTTGCGGATAAGATTATCCACACTTGTGTATTAAAATATCCACGTTTGCGGATAAAATTATCCACGTATGTGAATACATATATCCAGGTATGTGGATAAAATTATCCACATTTCTGGATAAGATTGTTCACACCTGTGGATAATCGTGGAATGTGGATAAATTTTTTCCTTTCTTTGCTGATTCAATTTAATTATACCCTCAGCCATAAGGCTAGAGAGGGTATATATCATTTGATATGGCAAAAACGTGCCTCATCGAAATAACGATTTTAGACCATAGATCCCTTTGGACGAAATATGTTTCAAGACATTTGGAGTCGATATAGTGATGTCCGTTCGTCCGTCTGTCTGTCTGGCTGGTGCACGATAATTCTCGGAGGGAGTATCCGATTTGATCCAAACTTGGTACATTGTAATATATTTGTCAAACTTAGATCGAGTTCTAAGATGGACAATATCGTTGAACTCCTTCTGTTACCTCCCCCCACAAAATGTCAACATTTTCAAAGGAAAAAAAATTACTGCACCGAAAGAGAAAGGATAATCCGATTTTACCCCAACTTTGCAAATTCTAATATTTGCATCAGTGCTAGGTCAGGTACAAAAATGGACAATATTGGTCCACTCAATCCAGTACCTGCCACACAAAGTGTCAACATTTTGAATAATTATAACTCTTATATGCTCTCGAAGGGAGTATCCGATTTGATCCAAACTTGGCACAGCGTAATATTATTGTCAAACTTAGATCGAGTTCGGAGATGGGAAATATCGGTTCACTCCTTCTGGTAGCTCCCCCACAAAATGTCAAAATTTTCTAAGAAAATAATTTACTGCACAGAAAGAGAAAATGATAATCCGATTTTTCTCCAACTTTGCAAATCCTAATCTGTGCATCAGTGCTACGTTAGGTTCGGAAATGGAAAATATTGGTCCACTAAATCCAGTACCTCCCCCACAAAGGGTCAACATTTTTAATAATTTGTAACTCTTATAAAATGTGATGTATGTGTCCGATTGTCTTCAAACTACACACATAAAAATATTTTTATTGACCCAAGATCTGGTGTGAAGATGGGGTATACCGGTCCACTCCTTCTGGTACCTCCCCTACAAAGGGTCAAGATTTTGAATATTCATGAATCTCATAAAACACGTAATTAACTTCCGATTCCATTCAGACTTGGCACATCTCAATATCTCCGTCAACGCAAGATCTGTTTTAGTGATGGTAGAGATCGGACCATTCCTTCGGGGACCTCCCCCACAAATGGTCAAAGCTTTGGAAAACCAAAACGATGAAAAAATCCGAATTAAGCATCAGGTTCTCTTCGCATTACACACATCACAATATTCTTGTTAACCCAAGGTCTAGTGTGAAGATGGGATATATCGGTCCACTCCTCCCCCACAAAGGGTCAAAATATGAGTATCCATGAAGCTCATAAAACACGTAATTAACAACCGATTCCATTCTGACTTGGTACATCTTAAAATTTCCATCAACATAAGATCTCTTATAAAGATAGTAGAGATCGGACCATAACTTCTGGTACCTCCCCCACATAGGATTCAGGGTTTTGAAAAACAAAACGCTCAAAGAGAGCGAAATAAGCATCCAACTCTCTTCAAATTTCACACATCTAAATATTTTTGCTAACACATGATCTGTTGTGAAGATGATATATGTCTGCGAACCCCTTCTGGTACCAAACCCACAAAAGGTCACAATTCCACATTTTCCCAAAATTTGCACATATCTCATATAAAGTATAGGAAGTAGTCGATATATTACAAATCTGTCATGTTTTAATATTTATATCAGTCTTAGGTCAGATACGAATCGGTCAATATTGGCCAACTGCTTCCAAACCTCCCCCATAAAGAGTCAACAGTTTGGAATAATCATAACTCAAGGCTATCAATGCTAACTATTCTACTTGTTTTTAATGTCATTGTAATCGTTTATATCCTCCTTTAATTAATTCCCCTTCCACCCTTTCTTTCCAGCTCGTAATCAAACAACTAAAAGACAAAGTGGAAAATATACGCAGTGAAATCGAATCGAAAAAGGAAGATATCAATTCACACGACATTCAGGTGGCCGAAGTCAAGGCTGAACTCTCCGAGCTGATTAAGAAATGTGAAGAACTCTATGCGGACTATGATAAGCAGCGAACACAAGTTTTGGAAATGAAATATAACAAAAAGAATGAAAATGTCACGGCCACCTCAGCCTGGGATACGGGTTCGGCATGGGGTGCTACCACAACATCGAGTATCGATCAATATGGTATGGCCAATGATAATAGTACCGCGGCAGCTGTGGCTGTTTCACCGGGAATGGATAATGCTGTGGTGGCGGCGGATACAAGTGGTCCAGCGCCTGAAGGTTTTGTTAAGTACAAAGCTGTTTACGAGTTTTCAGCACGTAATGCCGATGAGATTTCATTTGTGCCTGGTGATATAATATTTGTACCGTTGGAACAAAATGCTGAACCCGGCTGGTTGGCGGGTGAGATAAATGGTCATACGGGTTGGTTCCCCGAGACCTATGTGGAGAAAATGGAAGAGGATTTGGCGGCCACGCAGAGTTATACCACAGCCCAGGATACCTATAATGATAATAGTCAGGGTTATGGGTAGGTTCAAGAGGGTTTATGTGAGAATTAAAAATAAATATATTTTCATTTTCTTTGTTTCAGTACCACCACAACCGACACCGCAGCCGTTGCTTCCACAGATGCTGCCTACAATGGTGATGTTGAATACTATATTGCCGCCTATCCCTACGAATCCGCCGAGGCTGGTGACCTAACCTTCAGCGCCGGCGAAATGGTTATGGTGATAAAGAAGGAGGGTGATTGGTGGACGGGTACAATAGGCAATCGCACCGGCATGTTCCCCTCAAATTATGTACAAAAGGCAGATGTGGGCGGAGCGGGAACAGCGATTACCGATACAACAGCCACCTACGATGATGCCTACAGCAAGGTGAGTACACAAGGCTAAAACGATCCGGATGCTAGCCCATTAATCTCACCAAGAGGCGTGCGTGTCTGCTGCACATTGTTAAAGTTATATGATAAGCATGTTAACTAACTAACATAACACAATATTGTTGTAGCCAAGAAAAAGTTACAAATTCAATTGCGATTGAATGGACAACTAAACAAGCAAAAGCACACACACATATATATTTATATATACCTACCTACATATATACGAATTATTGAAACAACAACACCAAAACTCACTTGAAGCATTAGTTGATTTATCCCCAAACCTAATCGTTAAACAAAAAAACTCCAAACATTTTGTGTCTCTCTATCTCTCATTTAACCATTTTCTAGGACAACACATACAATGGCAATGCTCACCACGATCAAATAACCGAAAATGCTTCGACTGCTTTGCCAAGCGATAATACGCTCGCCGCCTCCGCCGCCTCCGATACGCAATTAACCAATGAAATGACCCCTGCCGCCTCAAATGATATGCAAACTACCAAAGCTCACGATGATGCGGCAGCTGTGGCGGCCGAAGAGACACGTACAAACGAGGAACTGGATACGGAAGTCTCACAAATAAACACACAATCTAACAATAAGACACAATCAAGTGAACCTGCTGAATCGTATAGTCGTCCCATGTCACGTACTTCTTCCATGACTCCAGTAATTAAAACAAATTTAATTTTTTTGTAATAACTCTGTCTGTCTGTCCTTCCTACCAATCAACCCTTTATGTTTGTAATTCGTCTATCTATCTGTCTGTCTGTATGATTAGTTGCAAGTGAAAACAACACTTTAATTTTTCGTTTTTCGTTTTTTTGTATTTTGTTGTTTAAAAACAATGCTTTTTTTAATGTTATTCTTTTCAAACACCACATTTTTTTGTTTGGCTTTTTTTATGTAATTTATGCTACTACAAAACGAATAGTTTCAAGGAATGCTAAAAGGACACTTTTATTTCATCAACTATAATTGCAAATTTTTCTATAAGTATTGTGGATTTTAATTGATTTTTTTTATCTCCCCCCATCTTCGAACAGGGCATGCGAGCCAAACGTTCAGAAATAGCACAAGTTATTGCACCCTATGAAGCTACCAGTCCTGAACAGCTATCCCTGACTCGTGGCCAACTAATAATGATCCGCAAAAAGACCGAAACCGGTTGGTGGGAAGGTGAACTGCAGGCCAAAGGTCGTAAACGCCAGATTGGTTGGTTCCCTGCCACATATGTTAAAGTATTACAAGGTGGTCGGAACAGTGGTCGCAATACACCTGTTTCGGGCAGTCGTGTGGAGATGACCGAAACTATATTGGGTAAGGACAATTTTTTTAATATATTTGACGTTTTTTTGATGCATAAAAATTATTAGGAATTATTTTTTATGCGCAAAAAATAAACCGATTTTTTTTCTGCATTTTTTTCTTCTTCGATTTTTTTTTCTAAGCAAATAGGACACTTTTCCGAATGTTTTTCCATACGAAAAACATTACTTCGATTTTTTTTTTCATGCGAAGAACATCATTCCGATTTTGTTCCATACGAATAACATGCATAGAAAAAAATTGGAAAATATATTTTTTTCTATTCAAAAAAATTACTCCGGATTTATTTCTATGTTAATGTTTTCTGAGGAAATACTCCGTTTTATACCCTCCACCATAGTATGGAGGGTATATTAAGTTTGTAATTCCGTTTGTAGCACCTCGAAATATACATTTTAGACCCCACGAATATATATATTCTTGATCAGCATAAAATTCTATGTCGATTTAGGGATGTCCGTCCGCCTGTGGAAATCACTCTAGCTTCCAAACGAAATGAAGTAGATTGATAAAATTTTACTCAAATGTATATTATGTCTGCAGGACTTTTGGTATTGAAAATGGGCCATGTAGGTCCACGTTTTGGTATAGCCACCATATAACGGTACCTCCCGATATTCGGTATTTTGATGATTTAAGCGACATTATTCACCGGAATTGTTTCAAATTTGGTATTTGAAGTTCGAAATGAATACTACAGCCTATGACAGAAAATTGCCTGTACAGGTCCACGTCTTCGTATAGCCCCCATATAACGATAGCTCCCGATATTCAATATTTTGAAGAATTTAGCGACATTATTCACCGGAATTGTTTCAAATTTGGTATTTGAAGATCGGAATGAATACTACAGACTAAGACAGAAAATTTTCTGTGCAGATCCACGTCTTCTTATAGCCCCCATACAACGGTACCTCTCTATATCCGGTATTTTGATGATTTTAGCGACATTTATCACCGGAATTGTTTCAAATTTGGTATTTGAGGTTCGTAATGGATACTACAGCCAAAGACAGAAAATTGCCTGTACAGGTCCACGTCTTAGTATAGCCCCCATATAATGATACCTCCCGATATTCGGTATTTTGATGATTTTAGCGACATTATTCACCGGAATTGTTTCACATCTGGTATTTGAAGTTCGTAATGAATACTACAGCGTAAGAGAAAAAATTGTCTGTGCAGGTCCACGTCCTCGTATAGCACCCATATAACGGTAGCTCTCTATATTCGGTATTTCGATGATTTTAGCTACATTATTCACCGAATTTTGTTATTCAAGTTTCGCATTTGAATATTGTAAATGTTTATGACAAAAGTTGCCTATGCAGGACCACGTCGTATACTCTCACTCGGTATTTTTAAAATTTTAACAGAATTTTAAACGGATTTTATTTTTTTTTTTAAATTGCCAAAATCATTCCAAATGGTGGAGGGTATCAAAAATCGGCTTTTTACTTTTTACTTGTTTTCCATACGAAAGATATTACTCCGCATTTTTTCCATATGAAAAATATTACTCCGAATGCTATTCCATAAGGAAAACGTGACTCCGAATGCTTTTCAATTAGGAAAACATTACTTCGAAAGCTTTTCCATAAGGAAAACATTACTCCGAATATTTTTCCATGAGGAAAACATTACTCCGAATGTTTTTCCGTAAGGAAAACATTATTCCGAATTCTTTTCCATACGGAAAACTTTACTCCGAATGCTTTTCTGCTAGGAAATTATTACTCCGAATGCATTTCCATAAGGAAGACATTACTCCGAATGTTTCTCCATAAGGAAAGCGGTACACCAAATGCTTTTCCAAAAGGAAAACATTACCACGAATGCTTTTCCATAAGGAAAACATTACTCCGAATGCTTTTCCATAGGGAAAACATTACTCCGAATGCTTTTCCATAGGGAAAACATTACTCCGAATGCTTTTCCATATTGAAAACATTACTCCGAATGCTTTCCCATAAGGAAAACATTACTCCGAATGTTTTCTATGTGAAAAATATTACTCCAAATTTTTTTCTATGCGAAAAACATTACTCCGATTTTTTTTTTTTTTTCCTATGTGAAAAGCATTACTCCGATTTTTTTTTTATGCGAAAAACATTACTCCGATTTTTTTTCTATGCGAAAAACATAGCTCCGAATTTTTTTCTATGCGAAAAACATTGCTCCAATTTTTTTTTCTATGTGAAAAACATTGCTCCGAATTTTTTTTCTATGCGATAAAACATTACTCCGATTTTTTCTATGTGAAAAACATTACTCCGATTTTTTTTCTATGCGAAAAACATTACTCCGAATTTTTTGCTATGCGAAAAACATTACTCCGTTTTTTTATGTGAAAAACATTGCTCCGATTTTTTTTCTGTGCGAAAAACATTACTCGAAAAACATTACTTCGAATTTCTTCCTATGCGAACAAAATTACTCCAAATTTTTCGGAGTAATTTTTTTTCGAATTTTTTCCTTTGCGAAAAAAATTAGTCCGAACTTTTTTCCTATGCAAAAAACATTACTCCGAAAAATTATTTCAAATTTTTGTCTATGCGAAAAAAAATTACTCCGACAGTTCTCATCTGACAGTCGATGAGCAAACATCGTTGTTTTGAATCAGCTGATTTAATTAGAAAGCACGTTTTTTCATTTTCCTTTAATTTGTTGGCATTTTTTGCAAATATATTTTTTCCTTCCTTTTTAAGTTTGATTTAATTGATCGGATTAAAAACAAGCAAAAATGAATGGGGTGTACCCCCCGAATTATAACAGGTACGCTGTTCTGGACCCAACCCGGGATAAACAAAAGTCTCCTCGCTCTCACAAAAGAACACGGCTAGATGCTGCTGATTTTCTTCCTCTACCAACACGAACCCCTAATTATGACGAAGTCCCCAGATTTTTAATCGCCTCCGCTACATCAAAAGACTCCTCAAGTGAAACTAAACCATTGGCCTCTTACAATGTTTTCCAAATCGGACGAGGTATTAAAAACATCTGTCGTGAGTACTCAGAAATATCAGAACTCCGTAGTGGTGACTTACTGATAAAGGCGAATAATATCAAAGCATTCAGAAAATTTTTGTCTGCCAAATACATAGATATAGTGCCAGTCAAAATAGTACCACATCCTTCGCTAAATTCCTCGCAAGGAATAATATTCTCCGACAAAATCAAACATTTACCCGAAGAGGAGATACTCAAAGACTTGGCAGAATACCAAGTAATTGGTGTAAGAAAATTTATGAAAATGGATGGAAACCAATTAGTAGCAACAGGAGGAGCTGTGATCACTTTTGATCTTATACACCCCCCGAGTCGCATTGACATTGGTTGGAGCACTGTTCCTGTCCGGGATTACATACCAAACCCACTGAAATGTAAAAACTGCCAGAAACTAGGTCACACAAAGAACCACTGCAGATCTGTTGAATTGTGCAAAACACGTGCAACCGAAAATTCTGTGTAAACTGCAATGTTAACACACACTCTTAAAACGACAAAAATTGCGCTTCCTTCCTGACACACAAATCAGTAAACAAAATAAAAATTAAACAAAGATGCACGAACCGTGATGCGTGGAAAATATTTAAAAGCGATCCGGACAACTACCTAATTAAACCCCCAATTCAAAATCAGCTCTATTCTCAAGTAACACGCGGCGACAAAAATACCGAAAATAACACTCATCATAATACGAATGTTCCACCATCTTCAAAAACAATTTCCAACCAAACTCAACAAACAAATCAATTACATCTTCCCCAACTACACAAACTAAATCATCAAACGCAAATTCTTTGTACTCTTACAACACAAGCCAAGAAAATAAAAAACCAACAAACGAAAATGCAGAAAAAGAACCATTATTAAACAAACTTTACACACAATTAAACTCTATCAAAGACAACGATCATCAAAATTCATCAAATTCGGAAAAGTTCTCAACAAATGCAACTTTATCAAGTAACCCAGCCAAGATTACGTCTAGGAGACCTGAAATTGTAGATATGGACGACGTTTCAATGGTTCCTGAAATACTATAATTCTATCAAAAACTTATTATTATCATATCTAATTACTATTACTTTTTTTCTCTTCTTTTTTATATTTTTCTATGGATCTGAATTCGAACATTACAATTCTCCAATGGAACATTCAAGGTTTTATTTGCCATAAATTTGCTTTAGAAATAATTATTGCATTGCACAAACCAAGCATTATAGTTTTACAAGAGACCCACATCACGGAACAAAATATGCATTTATTATTTCTTCCAAGTTACAAAGTTTATCATCACAACAAAAACTATAACTATTCCAAGTCTGGAATATGTATTTTTGTTAAAAATAATATTAATGTTACGCACGACAGCATTTCCTCTGGAAATCTATTATTTCAGTCAATAACATTGGACTATGGTTCTCCTCTTCACATAATAAATGTCTATAAAGAATATGACATAGCTATAACGCCAGATATAGTTAATTCTATTAACATACCACCTATGTGTCAAACCCTATTTCTGGGAGATTTGAATGCCCAGAACACCCTATGGGGCTCATCCGAATCCTCTAATGGAGGCCTCATATGGGAAGAGTTTGCTGATACTCATGGTTTTGCCATCCTCAACGACGGTTCTCCTACTCTTTTAAGCACTCGCAATACCCTTACAGCTATAGATGTAACAATGTGTACCCCTGGCTTGGCCCCTACACTGTCCTGGAACACACTAGCCCTACCGGAAGTTGGAGATCATTTTCCCATCCTCATTACCAACAACATTCCCATACCTACAAAGAAGTTTATTCCCCGTTTTAAGGATAAAAAGGCAAACTGGCCGCTATTCCAAACTAAATTATTACATTTTAATTCTGTTTTCACCGAGTCTGATAATATAAATAGAGAGGCATCACAAATAAAACGGCTTTTCAGAAAATCAGCCAACGAATCGATTCCAATTACTCATCAACCAAAAAATAATATAAGGCCTATATGGTTCAATAAAGAATTGTCAAGGTTAATCCGCATTAGACAAAGAGCATGGAGAATATTCAGAAGAGTTAGGAATACCGAAAATAGTCTATATTACAGAAGAATGTGTGCGTTAATTAAACGCGAATGTAAGAAAGCCAAAAGATTGACATGGAACAGATTTCTTAACTCTCTTGACCCAAACATGGATGTTCGTTGTTTATGGAATAAAGTAAAAACCATAAGAAATCCAAAATTTGATAGATTTTCTAACATTCACTTTAATAATGAAAATCTCACAAACCCAAAAGATATTGCCAATGCGTTCGCATCTTTTTGGAGCTCCATAAGCTCTGATGAAGCCTTTGACCCTTCCATTTACATGTCAAAGCATTCTTTTTCTATTAGTAATCCCAATGTTCTAAACACAAACAACATGATTCTTACAGAAAAAGTCGAGCTTCATGAACTCAATGATGTTCTCCAAAGTCTAATAAAACATAATAAAGAAACGGATATGTAAGTTATATTATAGGATAATACACGATGGCGTCTTCCCACATGACTGGAAGATCGCAATTCTTTGCCCTATCCCTAAACAAGGAAAAAATCCAAACTCTTTGCAGGGCCATAGACCCATCTCTTTACTTCCAGTACTTTCAAAGATTCTTGAAAAACTTTTGGCAAGACGTTTACTACAATACAGCCAACATCGTTTCTCCACAATACAACATGCCTTCCTTCCACATCACGGTGTACATACACTGTGTCACAATCTGGAGTGTACATTACGTGATAACATAAGCCGCAGAAAACACAGTGTGGTTATCTCAGCGGATTTAGAAAAGGCATTTGACCGTGTTGTATACACCAGTATACTCACTGAACTCCATAGTTGGGGAGTACAAAGTCAATTCATTGCATTAATACGATCCTTTTTATCATTTCGACGTATGCAAGTTAGAGTCGATGGCTATTTTTCTAATTCTTTGCCTTTGGATAACGGTGTACCCCAGGGTTCGCCTATCTCCGTTATTCTTTACAATATATACATAAATTCTTTATGCAGAACTCTTAAAAACTTATCAGGAATTGATTATGTAGGAGTATACGCTGATAACATATTTGCAATTTTATCAGGCTTTCCACAAGCTGTAGAAGTAAATTTACATAGTTTTAACAGTTCAGTACAATGTTGGGCTAGGGATGTAGGAGCTGTGATCCCTTCTAATAAAATAGAGCTTCTTCACGTTTGTCGCAGGAGAAAATGTCAATTTAATTCAATGTGCCTCGATCAAAATACTATCAATATTCACCAACGAATGAGAATTCTGGGACTGTCATTCAGCAGAAATTTACTGTGGAATGACCATACAAAAATGTTACAAGCCAAACTGGGAAAGATTAACAACCTACTTCGGTTAATCTGCTCTAAAACAAAAGGACCTCACATTGACACGGCAATTAACATATGTAAATCCTTGGTGTACGGGGTAATTGCCCATTGCATTACAATTTATGGATTCACATCCAAAGCAAATATTTCTAAACTGAATGCTGCCATAAACAAATGTTTTAGAACTGCCACTGGGCTTCTTCGTTCCACACCTCAAGAAGCACTTTACATAGAGGGAAATTACAATGATTTTCAACATATTTTGGAACAGTTCTCTATTAGCCTGGCCAGCAAAGCCCTTACTATACGTGCACATGGGCTCCATAAAACATTTTGGAGATATGCTAACGCTAACAATACTTCGTGTTTAAACTCTATTGTCCAAATCTTGACTCTTTTTACAACCTTGGAAATACCTCTGCCTTCCAAACCTATCCCAAGTCTTATAAACAGCAGTAATTTCGTCTCGATCGACACTACGTTATCTTCACACTTAAAAGAACACACCAATGACGAGTGCTATAAACAACTCTTGCTTGAAAAAATTGCTGCCTTAAGCCCGGACATGATCCTTTACACAGACGGTTCCTTTAATGGGTTTTCTACGTCATTCGCAGTAATTAAGCAATTGACCACGAACAGTTTCTCTACGATTTGCAAAACAAGATTGCCTAGCAATACAGGTATATTCACAGCGGAGCTCAGTGCTGTAAAAACCGCCATAGCCCATGCCAAACAATACATAAAGACGTTAATTTGTATCGACAATTTGAGTGTCGCTAAGGCCCTTCAAAAAAACAAAGGAGGAATTTACACTGATATGGTGAAGATCCCAAACCACTGTGAGATTTTTGTTTTATGGATACCATCACACTCAGGTATTAAGGGAAATGATTTTGCTGATAAGATGGCAAAAGAAGCACTGGTTATGACTCATATAGCAGAAATCCCCTGCTTTCATTTTACCTTACTGCATCTTTATAAAACAAAAAAACGTGCTAATAAATTGATTATGTGGCAATCTTCGTCCACTTTTCTAAGACGAGTTAGTCCAACAATTCCAAGAATTAGCTACAATCCTGATTTTTCTAGATCCGATTGCATTTTCCTATCCCGACTCAGGGTTGGTAAATGCTTATTTAACACTCGTCACTATTTTGATAATACAATGCCAGCTCGGTGTTCTTTCTGTGGCGAGCTTCTTACAATTGAACATATTCTATTAGAATGTCAATACTCTGCAATCAATTTAGGCATCGAAAAAATACTCGATTGTTCCACTAAACAGTTTTTACCCCGAATCCGTTCGGCACTAAATATTCATAATATTCGTGATATCTAATTCAGATCCATACTTGTATATATAGCTAGAATATACCCAATAAGAAATTCATATTATACTATATCGAGCGCATAAGGTCTTAGTTACCAGGCGCCTCCCTTCAATATTTTGTAAATTTACTTTATAAAATATTTTGTAAATAAATAAATAAATAAATTACTCCGAATTTTTTCCTGTGCGAAAAACATTACTCCGAAAAATTACTTCGAATTTCTTCCTATGCGAACAAAATTACTCCAAATTTTTCGGATTATTTTTTTCTTCGAATTTTTTCCTATGCGAAAAAAATTACTCCGAATTTTTTCCTACGCGAAAAACATTACTCCGAAAAATTACTTCGAATTTCTTCCTATGCAAAGAAAATTACTCCAAATTTTTTTGAATAACATTTTTCTGAATAAAAAATCGCATAAAAAATTCGAAAAAAAAACTCTAATTTTTTTCTATGTGAAAAAACATAAAAAATATATGAAAAAATAAATTTTCAAATGTTCTTAACCGAACAATTATTATTCCGGATTTTCTCCTACTAATCCTAATATGTTTTCTCTTTACTTTCAGATAAAGTCATTGCTCTGTATCCCTACAAAGCACAAAACGACGATGAATTATCATTTGAGAAAGATGATATTATCAGTGTACTGGGACGTGATGAACCTGAATGGTGGCGTGGTGAATTGAATGGTCTGACCGGTTTGTTCCCCAGCAATTATGTGGGTCCATTTGTGACGTCCGGTAAGAAAGCCAATGGCAAATAATCAGTGGCTAGTGGATGGTAGAACAATGAAAAAAGTTGGGACCAAAAAAACAAAAGAAGAAAAACTTCCCAACATGAAATGAACGCTTTAATTATTGTTTAATGGAAAATACCCCTACTCCTCCCCTTTACACAATAAAACACAATGCTCTCTCTCCCAATATACATATATATTTTTTGTACATTGTCATTTATTATGCTTTAATACATTTTGTGTTAATTATATTCTTTTGTTAATTTTCTTTATTTAAGAATTTTGATCTTGAAGAAAAAAGAAAACGAATACGAACATTCCGAACTTTTCGAAAATATAATTGTTCCCCCCAACTCCCTCTCTCTCTCTAATATCGCTATTGGCGAATGTTTATAAAACATGTTAAATTATATTTTTATTATTATTTTCCCCCCCTCTTTTTTTGTTAATTTTAAGTGAATTATTATCTTTAAGTTTAATAGACTGTGTTTATTTAACTTGTTTCTTGTTAAGTTAGCCCAAGTTTTTTTTCTGTTCATTATTATTACTCTTTTGATTATGAATGAAAAAAAAACAATGTTTAGAAGTTATCTTTGCTTTCCCTTTGTTTAGATTTATAACTATGCCATAGAACATACTGCTATGTAATGCTATTCTGATTTTGTTAATTTTCATTTTCAATATGCCTTTTGTTATTTTTATTTTTGCAATATTAATTTTGTATGTAAATTATTTTTAATAGTCATTAAAATATAATTTTAAGTTTTTTTCTTGGCTTTTGATAATGAGCTTAAAAAGAACTATGTGTAAATAAATATTTATAAATGCTTGATTGCAATATTATTGTCGCCGATATTATATATACACACATATATATACTAAATAAAAGTTAAATAATTTTTAAAAATATATGATTTTTTTCATTTTTTTGTTTATTTTATAAATGTCATGCTATAATTTTTCCTCACCAAAATGTGGACTTTATTTGAAAATTTTTGTGTTCTAAGAATTATTTGAGAATTTAATCATGTTATTTTGAAAGAAATATAAGAGAATTAAATGGTGAGATTTTATAAGAATTTTTGGAAAAATTAAACGTGAATTTTTGTAAGGAATATTTGAAAACCAAAGAGAGAATTTTTGTAAGAATATTTTGAGAACTTTATGGAAGATATTTATGGGGAACATTTGAGAACCAAAATGTCGAATTTTTTTTAAGAAATATTAGAGAACTAATGGAAAATTTTTATTTTCATAAAAAATATTTATATTTCGATTTGAGAACTATATCGTGGCATATTTAAGAATTTTTCTAAGATCGTAATCGTGGATTTTTATAACAACTATTCCAATATCAGAATCCAGGATTTTTCAAGAATTTTTATTTTGTGAATTAGTCGATTTTAATAAGAATTTTTATGAGGAAATCGAGTTTTTCATAAACATTTTTAGAACTGTGAATTTTAAAAAAAGGTTTTCCAATATTGGACTTTTGTAAGATTTTTCTCAATAATGAAATCGTGTATATTTTAAAATTAAAAAAAAGAAGAAATGTTTGATTGGGTAAAAACGTTTATAACACTGAGCTGAGTCGATCTTGCCATGTGCGTCCGTCAGTCGGTCTATAGCCTTTGCTTTCTTGTCTTTCTTTTACTCTCAGTCATATGGCTAGAGAGGGTATATATTATTTGATACCAATGGCCAAAACGTGCCTCATCATTCCTTCTGGTACTTCCCCACAAAATGCCAATATTTTCAAAGAAAATAATTTACTGCACAGAAAGAGAAAGGATTATCCGATTTTGTTCCAAATTAGCACATCCTAATATTTGCATTAGTGTCAGGTCAGGTGCGAAAATGGACAATATTGTACCTCCTTCACAAATGATATGAGATATAATATGATATAATAGTCCGATTGTCTCCAAATTTCATACATCCCAATATTTTTATTAAGATGGAATGTATCGGTCTACTCCTTCTGGTACCTCCCCGACAAAAGACCGATATTTTCAAAGAAAATAATTTACTGCACAGAAAGAGAAAGGATGATCCGATTTTGCGCACTCGATCAAGTACCTTCCCCACAAAGGGTCAAAATTTTGAATAATTACAACTCTTATAAAATGTGAAGTAAGGGTAAGATTGTCTTCAAATTTCGAACATCCCAATATTTTTATTAACCCAAGATCTGGTGTTGAGATAGAATGTATCGGTCTACTCCATCATGTACCTCCTCCACATAAGGTCGAAATTTCAAAAAAAAAATAAATAAATAAATAAATAAAAACAAGTAAGCAAAGGCTACAGTCGAGCGGGGCCGACCGTTGAATACCCTACAACACTACAATAAACCATACAGTTTATATAGGCGAGATACTCGAAAGAATTCCACAAGATATTGTGACAAATTATAAAAGAAAACCATCAGGTTTCGTTCTCTAATTTCGAATAATAGCAACTTAAACTCATTTGCTCATTTCCAATTTATTGGTAGATGTTGCACGTAAATGGTCTTCCTAGATCTGGAACCAATATTTCCAAAAGACTTATAATTTCTTAGAAGTGGCAAAAGATTAACAGTTATTATTGGTTTTTTGACTGAAACGCAACTATATGAGATACAGACATTTGACTATATTCTTCAACGAAAGCAGCGTTAACGAAATAGTCAGAATTGCGTCTTTCCTGTATTTGTGAATTCTCCAAAAAGTCCCTGTATTTTGTCTACAAAAGTTGGCAAACTATTTCACACATTGAATATTTTTGGATGGCCATCCAAAACTGCTTGGCTTTTGTAATGTCCGGTAACCCCCATTCAAATGTGCGTGAGAATCGGGCGATAATTACGACCTGCAGACAATTTTGCAGTTTTTTGGTCCATTTTAACCCCTAAACATATGGCGATCATCTCCAAAAAGAGTAAGCTTCTATTCTGACCCTCATCTTATCTCCATGCAAAATTTCGTAAGCATCGGGCCATAAATGCGATCTGTATATGATACCCTGATATCCTAACTACTTAGTTTTGTTAGCTGTAGAAATATTACCAAATGTTTAATTCAAAATGAAAATATGCCAAAAGTATGACAAAATTGAAAAATTATGAGAAAATTTTACAAAATCAATATTTTCATCTTTAGAGAGATATTTTTATGAGATTTTTTTAGACGTTTTTTCTTTCCTGCCAAGAGGCCATTCTGAATTAATGAGAACTGTCGAAATCAGTTCAGCCGTTCTCGACATATAAGAGATTTTTCAAGCATATCTTCTTTGAAAAACGTATATATCGCACATATTTTGCTATATATCCGTTTTGATGGATGTTAACATCAATGTAAAGATCAGAAGTAACCTTGTCATGGCTTTTTGATTTCGCCGGGATTTAAAATATTCGCGGTTTAATGAAATATTTTGAATTTTTTCAACACAAAAGATATGGTCTATTTTACCCGCTAAATATTATCCGATGACCACCCAAATTGGTAGGCTTCTTCCCCGCCCTAAACTCTAGCTACATGCGAAATTCCGCGTCGATTGGTCTATAATTGCGACCTGTATAGCTACTGCAAAATCCGACATTTTTTCAGTATTTGGTCCATTTCAACCCCTAAACATTTGGCGACCATCTCCAAAAGAAATAGGGTTCTATTCTGACCCCAGACCCACCTCCATTCTAAATTTCGTGAAGATCGGGCCATAATTGCGACCTGTAGAGTGATTACAAATTAACATGGACAGACGGACAGACGGACGGACGGACATACATAGCTAGATCGACTCAGCTCGGCGAGCTAGGAAGATCCATATATACTTTCCTATGTGGGAAACCAATATTTCGAGGTGTTACATAATTTTTGGGCCAATCAAACTTATAATACCCCCAACACATAGTGTTGTAGGGTATAAAAATAAATAAAATAAATAAATAATAAAAAAATATTTACTGCACAGAAAGGGAAGCAATAATCCGATTTTGTTCCAACTTTGCAAATCCTAATATTTGTGCCAGTTCTAGGTCCGGTGAAAAAACGGATAATATCGGTCCACTCCATCAAGTGCCTCCCCACAAAGTCTTAAAAAATGTGATGTAAGAATCCGATTGTCTTAAAATTTCACACATCCCAATATTTTTTATAAACCTCAGATCTGGTGTTAAGATGGAATAAATCGGTGCACTCCTTTTCGTACCACCCCCACAAAGGGTCAACATTTTGAATATTCGAGAAGCCTATAAAACGCTAAATTAACATCCTATTCCTCTCAGACTTGGCCCATCTCAATGTATCCATCAACACAAGAACTGTTATTAAGATGGTAAAGATCGGACCATTCCTACTGGTACCTACCACACAAAGTGTCAAAGTTTTGAATAACCAAAACAATTATTAAATCCGAAATAAGCATCCGGTTATCCTCATATTTCGCACATTCCATTATTTCCACTAACACATGAACTGCTGTGAAGATGGGATATAACGGCCCACTCCGTGTGATAAACATGCGGTTTTCTTCAAATTTCACGCACGCAAAATCTGTTGTGAAGATGATAGATATCTGCCTGATAGACTTATACAAATAATCTACAAAGTTCTTGAAAATGTGCTCAAGGGAGACCAGATTTTTATACCCTACACCACAAGGTGGTCAGGGTATTATGTCTTTGTGCATTTGTTTGTAACAGACAAAAAAGGAAACGAGATAGACCCATAGTTCCTTTTGATGATCTGCATAGAATCACATTCTGAGTCGATTTATGCATGTCCGTCCATGCATTTTTTAAACAAAGTACAGGTCGCATTTATTTCCCGATCCAGATGAAATTTTGCACAAATCTTTTGTTTGGTCCAAGGACGAAACCTATTGAAATTGGAGGTAATCGGTTAGAATTTAAATACAGCTCTCATATACATATAACTTCGTCCGATTTGCCTTTTACTGTGCACTAAATATGAAATCGGTTCAGATATGGCTATAGCTCCCATATATATTTTGTTCTTCCGATTTGTTATTTTTGTCCTCCGCAGCCATAATATCCGCTCTGTAACAACAATATTTGGGGAAATATATCAAATACAGCTCAGAAATACCTATGCAAAATTTTATCGAGATCGGGTCCAATTTGGATATAGCTCCCATATATAACTTTGTCGGATTTGCCTGTGCAATAAACGTGTAATATTAATCCAAATGGGATAGAATTTGGCACTTACGCCCGAATTGAGTCTAGAAGCTAGTATGTCAAATTTGGTGAAGATCGGCTTAGATGTAGCTATAGCTGCCATATATATTGTTCATGCGATTTGTTATATTTGTTCCCCACAGTCATAATATGCACTCCGTAACAACGATATTCACGGAAATATATCAAATATAGCTTAGAAATATCTTTGCCAAATTTTATCGAGATCGGTTCCGATTTGGATATATCTTTATCCGATTTCAAGTTAATTGCATACCAAATGGACAATATAAGCCCGAATTGAATATACACAAATGCATCGTCGAACTTTAAATTATAATTATAATCATAGCTTGTATTATTTAATTCTCCCATAAAAACTTTTAATTGTAATGCGGAGCTCTACTAAATTAGGAAAGTTGTGTAGGGCATCATAAAGTCGACCCGTCCGACTTTAAGACTTTCTTTACTGGTTTTAATTGAAAACTTAGGTAATTTCTTTTAAAACTCATCTATATGATATTGGTCTCTAAATGATGTTTGGAAAATTATTTAAGAGAATTTTCGAGTTGGGTATTTTAAATAGAGGCTTGGAATTTTTTTTCAAAATTTCTTTTGAATATTGAAAAACTGATTACTTAGTCTAATATTATACATTTTAGTTTTTGAAAAATGGAAAGAAATTTCTTGATTTTTTTTCAAATATACGAATTTGGTCTTTGATAAAACTATTATTTTGGACCCAGAAAAAGTGCTAGAAATATCCTTCAAAATCTTATTAAGGCAGACCCTATTTTTTAATCCATTATTAAATGAAAATTTACTAAGAACCACGAATTGAACAAAATTTCCCCTTCGAATATGGAAATTGAGCTTTTTTTAAGTTTTTTGTCGTTGTTGCAAAATACTACGGTATCCTGAGCAAATATGGCAACACTGTTCTAAATTTCTTATTAAAAATATGTAATATTTTTTTTTAAATACTTAAAAATACTTTAATACTCATTTGTTGTTTTTTTGTGTTTTTTTACAGGAAATGTATAACAAGTTATGCCAGCACCAGCTTACTAAATAAACCAATAACAAATTGCTACGAAGTTTTTTTGAATTTAAGACAAACGTAAAAACAGCAATAATGAATTGTATTTACATGGAAATAATTAAAAAAAAGAAAAGAAAAACAAATTTAGAAAACTAGAAGAAGCCACCCCTAACAACAACAACAACATAAAGAATGATTCCCCAACAAGGAAACTGGTATAAGATATAATTCCAAAAAAACAAGGTTAAAAAATTAAACTAAATCCTGGGTATTATTGAACAAAAATATTTATGAAAACAAGTTGAAGAGAAAAAACAAATGAAAGTCATTATTAGAGAGAATTTTTTTGCAATATAAGAGAATAGAAGTAATGAAATACGAATCACACATTTAGTCATTCCATAATGAGTACTCAAAAAAACAAAAAAAAAAAAAAAAATCAGAGACACACATTCAATTCACTTCACTTTAAATGGAACAGAAAATGGCAAATGATTGGAACCAATATCGAAAGAGAAAAAAAAATTGAAAAATCAAGGGAGTAACGAAATTACTCCCTTGCAGGACTATCTATATTTAATCCCATAAACAAAAGGCAGAAACGTAAATTCATATGTATTAAGGACAATATAAAGCTTTCTTATATAATTGGTAAAAATACAAAAAAAAAAAAACTTAAATGAATTAAAATATTATTACAAATGTATTTGCAGAACTAAGAAAATAATTAAGCATTCATATACATATATACAGAAAATTAATAGAAAAAAATTGAAACAAAAATATACATACATACATATAGAAATATATAAATGGGAAACACTTTACAAAAAATAATTAAATTGTCAGACTAGTTGTTATTATTAAAAAAAATACTAAAAAGATTGAATTAATAACGGATATATTTAAGGAATATATATTGTTGGATCAATGATTAAGGGTGCCATAGGGGAATTTCCAATTTTTTAGAAATCGAATAAAAAATGTGAGCGGAAGGATTTAAAAAAAATTTTCACGCAATCTGCAAACTTTTTTAAATAAATTAAAAAATCTCGATTTTTATTTTAAGGAAGAAATCGATGATATTCATTACCAAAATGGTGGCTTTTAAATAATTAAATTTTAAATTTTTTGCATATTCTCAAGTTTTCCAATGGAGCACTTAATTATTCAAATGACAATATATATTCCAAAGAACTATGATATTGCAAAGAATAGTATTGATATACAAAACATATACATATATAAAGAAATTCATAGGTGTTTTTTTTGTGAACATTTATTATTACAAACTTCGTTTCAACATAACCTAACAAAAGTTTCCAATTTATAAATAAATACATACCTAAATAAAAAAATGTTTTAAAATGTGGATTAGTTGTGATATGAGGAAGAAAAACTTAGGTTTTTGTTACAGCGACTCTATTTAGAATTCAGTTTATTGCTCGTTTAATAATTTAATATTTAAAAATGCAACATAAAAAACTGATTTCAAAACAGTTCAGGCCCATTGCGCATTTATTTTGTTTTCCCCAAAATAGTTAGGAGGCGTACAGGGTGTAATGAAGATGAAGGCAACAATAAGCCAGTCTAATTATTTTTCCTGCAGGAATTGTCTGGGCACTTCCTTCTTAGAGAGTAAGGTAGTTTAAAAACTCTTTTGTAAAAAACGGTTACAAATAGGCTGACAGCATACCTGTAATAGTCTGCAAGTAATGTTCAGACTTCCTATGTTTTTATTGTGAGTACGATATACTCCCGAGAATAGGAGTTTCATACGAAGTTCACTCCTCTCTCTCTTTTGTTTTATGTGTCTCTCTCGTGTGTCCCGAGACACTATTAAGAGTGGAAGTTAAAATGCTCTAAATAGAGTAATAGTTTACTAGGCCAAACTAGAAACTGCTCTATTGCTAGCGGATTTTACTCTCACTCGATAACATTCAAAGCATACTACCTGTTATTCGAGTATCATAGAAAAATGTTTGATTGCTTTTTATTATTCGCAGGAGTACTCCAGTTCGAATCCGAATGAAGGACGAAACTAACTTACGGAACTATGTGCCGGCAAACAGCTAATATTTTAAAACAAGACACTTTGTCGCCAATAAAAATAAACAAACCACGCAACATTTTTGCATTTTACTAAAACAAAACGGACAATCAAAAGCAGCTGACTGATAATCGGAGAGGGAAGAAGAAGAATTATAAGTGGTTGCAAAAGGAGATTTGTCCGGCAAAAAGTTACAAACTCTGATTAAAAGAACTCTTCATTCGTACTTTTCCGGGAACCAGACATACTAAAAAGTTGCCTACTGATAAAGGACCGTAAAAGTACAACATTTTCGATAAAACACTAATCCTGAGATTATTGTTTTATCGATAATCATTTATCAGTAGCCACAGACCATTACTGATCTTCCCCTTAGGGTCATTTAATTAGAAGATGGTCAGGGTATATTGCCGTTTTTATGCTTTTTTGTTCTTACTGTATCTACGTGGAACTTGTACCTTAGTCCAGATTGGAGTTAACAAACCGTCTTAGCGATGATGATCTTATGGTCTCTGGTGGCTGGGGAAATTGAGTCTTGTTGCCTCGGTTTAGATAGGATTTCTTCGTCCGTTAAAGAGGCTCCTCAGTCATTCTTTCTCTTTTCTCAGTGGTGTATGGTTTATAGACTTCAGCTTTCTTTGGAGCCCAAATTCAGAGAGGTGCAAGTACACTTGACAATTTTGATGTTTAAAGGTTACAAGGAATTAAAATAATTGTTGGCCTTTGCAGGTGTGTTGGACATTTCTAAAAGAATTCAAGCTTTTAGTTTAGAAAGGACTCATAAATTTCTCAATCGGAGTACTATGATTTTTTTCCCTTGTACGAATTGGAGCCCCTAATCCGGGGTTGAAACCGCATCATTGTCCGCCTTTATAGGATGAATTTATTTCAGAGGAAGTGGCCTTCTGCATCGGCCAGGGCTTGACACTGCAACTGGGGCGGAAGAGCCATGGTAGGGCAGTGACGTACGCGGGGATTTGAGGCTTCACCCGGAAGTTTACATGGAAAATTAAAATTAATTTAGAAATACATTTCTGGGTACGTGCCTTCGGTAAAGGGATCATTTCCGGCAAATATTTACCTACCGATTATTGCACCTACTGTATTATCTTCTTCTGGGTTTTTTTTCGCAGGGAAGCTGTATTTTAGTCAGGCCATGGTTTGTTACTGTAGGCCGAAGGAACCAATAGTAGAAGTGCCTCTCCGAAGGATTTCTTTAACAAGACTCGATCGGCTGTGGGTTAATATTGATGCTTGATTCTCTTTCTCCATTATGGTTGAAAGATCCTTGCCGGCAAGTTTCCTGCACAAATTTCGGTTAAAGTAATTTCGGCGGAAGTAAAAGTTTGGACAAAGATCTTCTCCTCGGTCGCGTCTTGCCGCCAGAGGACAGGTCATTATGTTTTTTCGACGCATAGTCCTTCAGCACGTTTTATCGCCAATGATCGTAGTAGAAAAGATTAGAACTGCAGTCTGTGCTAGCCTTCACCAGTTTGAAGATATGTGGACGACAGCTACATTTTTTTAATCGTCAAATAGGGTCTGGCTTTCATAGGGTCTGGCTTGTCGACATTCCATTTAATTAAGAATTAACTGAAAGGGGGAAACCTTTCGGCGAAGGCTAAACAAAAGTACATTATTTGTCTGTATACCACCTGGGCATCTCGGTAGCAACTTTTGACACTCTCCATAGCAAACACAGGGACAAGACCTCTTGGATATTCCCATACCTAAAAAGTCGATGATATCCTACATAAAACATTAACGGGAAAATTTTCGGGCCCCTTGATAGCTAAGGCAGGGACAAAACTTTTCGGCCTATGACTAAGCAAACTTAAATCTCTGACGAGTGTTCAAGTGATCAAGACACTTTCTATACATTTGACGGTGATGAGATCTTTCGTCCCTCGACTATATCAAATGGAAGGCCAAGAGGCTAAATTATAATTATTCAAAATGTTGACTCTTTCCGTGGAGAAACTAGAAGGAGTGACCCAATATTTTTAAATACAGATGATAAGATTTTCAAAACGAATTTTGTGGCTATTTATGGTCACTCATAGAGTAATTTTTGAGAGTTATGATAATTCAGTATTTTTGTTATATGTGGGGAAAGTACCATAAGGATGGGAAGAATATTTTCGCGCCTATCCTAATACCAACACAAATACTACGATGTATGAAGTCAGAACCAATCCGCGCTTTCTAGAAGGTATACATGTTTTCAAGAGGTGGATCGAATTGACAATTTTCCAACGTAGTCTATTTTTGGTACAAATTCTAATATTATTTCAATATATGTTCAAAAATCGTAATATATGCATCACACTTAAGTCAGGTATGAAATGGGGCAGCATCGACCCACATAGAGTTAAAAATATAATAAAGGCTTAAAAACCATAAATCTGTTAGCGCAAAATCCATTTTACAATTTTTTTTGATCCAGTCATGGCAAAGTGTTCAGCTCTGTATTCTTGAAGAGAATTTCCGATTTGCACCCACATTCATAAATTTTGGTCAACATTTTCCTTGACCAATGAGCAATAATGTAGTTTTATATAAACCACGCTATATATAAAAAAGGTTCTTTTTCCTTATTTTATTAGGAATGTTAATCAGCTCTGCTCAAAAACCAGACCTCTCCAGTCCAATTCTACTTATTTTTTTTTTTATCATCAAAAAACCTGTGTTAAACATAATTTGTATATTTTTTTTGCAAAAATTCTGGACAACGTCCAGTTTAAAAACAATCGAAAAGAATTTTTTGGACTCATGTGCTTGCACACGGTTTTGAGCAGTGCTGATGTTAATTAAAATTAATAATGCTCATACGCTACAAGTCATGCGTAATTATAATCATCATACGCCTACCAACATATGCAGGTTCAAATTACAATATTCTTCAATTTTAATTCATTTAAAATATTTTTACTGCAATATTTCCTCACCATCACAACTATTCCAAATTTACGAAGCAAATCCAATAAGAAAATACAATTAAAAATATTATTCCAAAAAAATCAGGTTTATTCAAATTGTTTATGTGGTATTTATATATAAAAGAAAAAGTGTGTTTTTTGATATCCTTCCAATAAACAAAACCCTTTCAACATTTTCAATATTAACAAGCAAAAATATGAAGTATGAAAACCAACCAAACCGAATCGAAACTACCATAACATGCATATTTAACCACCTTATTAAGTGTTTCTTAACAACAAAAGTTTATACGATTACAAAAACCAAACCAATAAAAAATAATTATCAAATACGAGTATATTGCAAAACTTAGAATATAGATCGATCCATTCCAACCAAACCAGAAGCAGAGGAAGAAAGTGAAGAAGCATGCAAGACAGTAAACAAATTAAATTTCCTTGTATATAAATTAAATGATAATATTTAAGAAATTAATATTAAATACAAATTAAACAAATTTAGATGTTATACGTTAGTCAAGAGAAAAACAATTAAATATATATATGAAAGAATGAATGATAAACACAAGGCATTTGTGTAAGAAGAAGAAGAGACCACCATTAATGCTATGCAAAAAAATTAAATTATAAATGTTTTTAGGTGTATGGAGAGAAAGGAAGGCGGTGAGGAAAATATATATTTATAGATTTTGAATTTTAATAATGTTTTAAAAATTTCCAAAGGGCGAATGAGAATTTTTAATCATATAGATATGGGAAATAATAAATACATATATTAATAATTAATTACTTAAAAAAAAATGTGCGACAAATTAAATTTTTTTCAGATTATGAAAGTAGAGCTAAAAAGAAAACACATGTATTGGGGTTTTAAAAGTTTTCAACTCAAAGTATCCTAAAATGAGGAGGCAAGTGACCCTCTCCTCCACACTTTTGGTAATTTTAGGATTGAGGTTAATAGTGTCCTGGGAAGTATTGAAGAGAACAAAACGAGGAATATTTTGGTTGATATTGTTAACCCCCAAGCGTCAACAAAGGGCCCTTATGGTGTTTTTTTCAAGATATCGTAAAAAAATCACTTTAAACTGGATCGCAACAAGTCAAAATATTCTACAAAATTATTTTTCACAAAATTCTTCTATAGGTTCTAGAAGACGTCATGGTTCTAAATCTTACCTAACCTCAGCAATTTATATACATTAAAAAACATTTAAGGGCTAAAGCCATACGTTAGCTGAGTTTATAGAAAAATCTCCAACAAAGCATCATTTTAGAGGGATATTCCTCATCAATCTTCGTTATTAGTCACCAAAGACATGAAATTTATTCTTCATTGTATATCGAAAAAATGTTTAAAACAATGTTTCAAAAAAATCTCAATTCTTTTATGATATTTTCTTTTGACTTTTGTCGAGTTGGCGCCTGAAAATAAAATTAAATTTCGTTTTAGGCAAAAGGTGTCAAAAGAAGAAATATTCTACACAAAATTTCATTACAAATCTCAGAATAAACCAAAAATCTAGGTACAATAGAATTTGCAGAAAATTACATTCGAAAATTATGTACTGCAATTCAGAATTATGTGTTGCTTTTTTTACTCTTTTATTAAACACTTATCCAATGCGAGTCAAAACCTTTCTTTATACTTCATTTTTTGGGGAAAGTGACAAAGTAAGAATTGTTCTGTATCGAATTTAAGACCCTTGCGATAACTAAAATAAGGGGGTATAATTACCAAACTGCTGTACCAAAAAGTGGACATATGTTGGTAATTTTTGGAAATAGCATTCTTATAATACGAAGCCAAAGTGTCTAAATTTGTCGAAATTAATAGAAAAACATGACCATGGGGGCTCTTCCAAAAAGTGGGCCGATATGACCCATTTTCTGTACCTACGATTATTGATGTAATCTAAAGATCTCCATCTATATATTGCGAAGTATATCTCAAACTATTGACCTATAGTCAATAATATACAAGGTGAGATATAAAAACTGCAACAAAGCCAAACCCCATAATTTTTACATTTTTTAAAATTTTAATGAATGAGAGCAAAAAAAATTCGGAAATAGCATCAAATTTTAGAATAAGTTTAGATTGGTTCGAATTGGTCACCTTTGGCACGAATTATGGCCTTCAAACGGCAAATGAAACCGTCACACGCTGCCCGAATGTTGATCTGCGGTATTTTGGCCCATTCCTGGCGAAGTGCTTGCTTGAGGTGATCGACACTTTGGTATTTTTTAGTGCCAACCTTGCTTTCCAAAATACTCCAGACATAATAGTCCAACGGATTGGTATCCGGAGATTTTGGTAGCCAATGCATGCTGGACATGAAGCGAGGAACCTCATTTTGTAACCATTCTTGGGTGGCGGTAGCGTTCTGATTGCGATGGTGCTGAGTCCTGTTGGAATGTCCAATGTCTGCGGCCAAAATATTTGGGTGCCCAAGGCTTAAATACACCCTCCAGAATATTTTCGCTATAATATTCGGCATTTATTCTGATGCCACGGTCGATTTATAAGAGGGGAGAGCGACTATCGGATGTTATGGCGGTCCACATCATCAACATGGCCGGCGCTTGAGTTCTGTTGGCCTACCGAAGGTGTACATTTTCAGTCGACCTCTTTGTTTGTTTACAAACTGCTGGTCAACGAATGTTTTCTCATCGGAGAAACCCAAATCCGGCAGTTCACCACTTTCGGCCAAGCGAAGAAACTCTTTAGCTCTTTTGAGTCTATTTTCTTGCTGTTGTGGTGTAAGTTCTTGTACTTTTTGGAATTTCAGTGGCTTTACCCCGAGCTCATTTTTCAATATTTGCCGAATGGAATATTGCTATATGTTTAGCTCACAAGCTATTTTTCGGCCACTGCGACACGGGTTTCGATCAAGTCGCTTCTTTACTTTTCGAACCATTTCTGTAAACTTTCAAGACGCCGATACACGGGTCTACTTTTTATATCTCTCATAATCTGCTGATTGAAAAAATCGAATTTCATTGTATAGTGTAATAAAGGCGTAAATTGAAAATAAACGAATAAATAAATCAAATGCTCGTTACGGAGAATACCAAAATTAGTCCCCAGGAATCCAAAAGCTATGTATCCAGAAATCCCGTAAAAATCAGCGGAACTTTGGTTAAAAATTCCAATTAAGAACTTTAAAGATATTCCACAATGCGAATGAGTAATCTTGTTTCAGACATTACAAAAATAACTCATACCACCCTCTGGACAGTGAAAAATTTTAATGTTACTCATACGCCTTGGCTTTGAAAACTCTCTCTAGTAGAGTTGTGCCAATCTAATTCGATCGAACGAGGTAGTTCCATATCTAGTACCGTCGGCTCCATATTCCCTGATATCAAAAAATAGATAATAATTCTTCTACGCCTTGAATATTGAATACCATTTGAATTACTCATACGACAGGGCTTTTTATGCATAATTATATATTATTCATACGCCTTGATATTAAAAATTATCAACATTTGCGATTACCGATACGCATTAAAAATAATTCATATTACTCATACGTCTTGCAAACGGTTTAAATAACTCATACGCCAGGATTTTTTTTTACCAATAAATTACAATTATTCATTCGCCTTGATATTAAGAATTATCAATATTGCTTATACGCCCCGGTGATTTCCATTACCCATACTTCCTGATATTAAAATTAATTAATATTATTCATACGTCATGGAAACTAGTAAAATTACTCATACGCCGGGATTTTTCAATAAATTACAATTATTCATACGCCATGATATATATTTCAAATAATTACAATTTCTCTCATTCGTTTTAAGGAAATTCAATTTCCATTCCTCCCCATAACTTTCCTCGAAGTACAACACCTAATCATAAAAAATGATAATATCGACAAAAAAGTCTATCACATATTTCGATCATTGTATTGCATTGCTAAACCAAAAAAAATCAAACATCTACGTATATCCTCTCGCATCCTAACGCAAATCTCAATCACACTGTGTCAGCCTTTATGAAACCAAAAAAAAAAAAAAAATGAAAAACCAAAAACAGAAAATCAAATAAAAAACTATATCTAATTAATTTTAATTAAAAATTTGTTGCTTGTTTAAAGAAATATAACAAAAATGAAGAAAAACAGAATAATTATAAATGAATACTGCCACTTAATTATTAAATTTAAGTTAATTATAATTTCCTTTAAAATTACACAGCAAAAAAAAAAAAAAAATAAGGAAACCCAAACCAAAAAAACGTTTTTTTTTTAAAGAATGTGAAAAAGAAACAACAAAAACAACTCACATGTTTACTTGTTAATTGTAATCCTTGTGTCTTTTTAATTATTATAATTACAAAAAATATTATTATGTGAAATTTTTAAACAAATAACATTTAGTCGAATTATTTAGCTGATTGAAGCCTTCATTTTTTATATACATATAAAAAAATATATAGAAACATTTGATTACATGGAAAGGATATGAAGGATGTTCTATAAATAGAGGTCTTCTAAAGATAGAAGACTAAATGTATATCTTCTTTGGTTAAAATGGGTTCACATTTAACCCTGGTTAAACATCCGATTTTGTTCATATCTTTTGGAACTGCAAAATATAATTTTTAAAATTAAGTAGTTATTTCACTGCTTCCCATTGAAGGAGGTCATAAGGACCTTTCGGAAGTTCTGAAAGCTCCTTTTGACCAGACATAGGGCTACAGAGGGTATATATCATTTGATACGACGAAAATAAATCTCAACGAATAACCGTTTTATCTTCATACTAAATCCATTTCAGGACATTTAGAGTTATTATAGTTATGTCTGTCTGCCTGATTGACGGGTGCGCAATATAACTATCAAAGAGAGAGAGAGAGTCTCTGATTTGATCCAAACTTGTTATCAAACTTTGATCAAGTTCGGAGATGGGCAATATAGGTCCACTCTTTCTGGTACCTCCCTCGAAAAGGTCAACATTTTCAAGATTTGTTTTTTACTGCACAAAGATAAAGGATCATCCGATTTTGCTGCAACTTTGCAAATCCCAATATTTGCATCAGTGCTAAGTCAGGTGCGAAAATGGACAATGCGATGTTAGAGTCCGATTGACTTCAAATTATATGCATCACAATATTTTCAGTAGCCCAAGGTATGATGTGAAGATGGATATATATTGGTACAATATTGCCTCTTCTAGTACTTCCCCACATAGAAAATAAGGGTCTACGTTTTGAATAATCTTAACTCTTATAAAATGTAAAATAAAATATTTTCAATATTTTTATCAACTCAAGATCTGGTATGAAGAACGGACCACTACTTCTTGTACTTCCCCCCACAATGGGTTAAAATATTTGAGTAGTGCAATAACTGACTAAACGAAAATCAACTCCCAGACGAAACGGCAGTCTTGCTGCGTAGGCGTGTGATAAGACTGGATTGAGCTAGAATTTTTTAGTTTGAAAAGAGAGTCACTAATGGAGAGCACGATACATGTGCCC